ATTTGGTCCCCGCCGCGGTGAACTGATGCGCCTTGTTCGATAGCGTCGGCTCGAAGCCACCCAGCATAGGATCGTCATCACACGCCGGCGTGGCCTGAGTAACCTCTCCACGTTGGAATCGCCAGAGTCGAACATACTTGTCTTGACTGGCCGAGGCCAATAGCAGATCACCCGTCTTGCTCTGCTTATCCGACGTGAAAGACAAGGAGCGCACCCACGCCTCGTGTCCAGACAGCACAGCCGCAAGCTTAAAATCGGGGTCGACAAGAGTGTTCTCTGCTACATATACCTGCACGATGTTTGTGGTCCCTGCCACCGCCAGAGCCACGGGTCTATCATTCGACTCCGTTCGAAGCGGTGTCAACGCCAAAGCCAACGGAAAGAAGCGTGGCTTCATGGGAATAGATCTCAAGAGCTCGCCCTTCGGCTCCCCCTGCGTGCTGATCTTCCATATCTTCACAGTAGCATCAGCTGCGCCCGATGCGACGATGTCTAATCCTTCAGCTATAGCGATGGTATTGACTGAGCCGGTATGTCCTTCCAAAGTATGCGCGTGGACGAATTGGCGGGAGTTTTCTGAATCGGGGCGCCATAACCGGACCGTATGATCAACAGAGCCAGTCAAGAGAAGTCTCGCTCCGGTGGAAGGGCATGTGTAGAACCGAACGACACTGACCTTGTCGGTGTGGCCGACAAGAAGCGAATAGACCCCGCGCTGGGAGCTCTCCTACATCATCACCCAAGGCCCCACCATCAGTATCCAAACTAACACCATCTCAGTAGCAAACAAGCGGATCTTGAGGAGTAACTTACTCGAGGATCCCAGAGAGCTACATTGTTATCTGCGCCAAAGGCAAGCACGCCTGACTGGACGTCCCAATCGGCGGCGGCGGGATGCCTATTGCCCCCGACGCTGATGTACTCGGTCGTGATGGAGACCATGAAGCTCGTCCAAGTCGGAAGTTCGAGCAATTAGTTTAGGTTATTTTTAAAGAAAGATCAGTCAGACCAACAGAGCCACCGACAGGGAAGGAAGTAAGAGTGAGGGGTGGGCTTGTTCGTCACCAACCAACCATGTTCGAATGGATCGCACAGCCAGCCGACTTTTTGTGCCGGCAAACTGGGCGGCTTATCGATAAGCTGCGAGAAATCCGGACCCCGTCTTTTGCCAACCCCTCCATCTCCATCCTCGCCGCAATAACTAACGCCTTGTCCACGAGCCCTGACGAGCCCGCGCAATCACCAATTCATTACCTCGCCTTACTAGGGCATTAGTTATACATCTCTCTCTTGTTTAATAACATGGCCACGAACCCTGGAGCCCCTGAGCTGGGCAAAGATGGCGCCGGTTCCATTGCTATTACCGTTGAGTTCACGTTCGGCTCTCACCCTTATCATGCAATCACCCCAGGCTTCTACTCATGACTGACTTGGCTTGGTTTGCACAAACAGAGGTGGTCTAGAGATTCTGTTTGCTAACGAGCGCAAACACCACGTCACCCTACCTTCGCACCTTGACGACGGCAGCCGGCCAACTATCAGCTACCTCCTGGGTCATCTGGTGAAGAACTACATGAAGGATCAGAGGCAGGAATTGTTCATTTTGGAAGGCAATGTGTACGTTCCATCTCATCGCATGGGAATACAGTGTAACGCGATCAGGCTGACCTTGTGCGACAGACGACCGGGAATCTTGGTCCTCATCAACGACGCTGATTGGGAGCTCGAAGGCGAGGAGAATTACGAACTTCAGCAGAAGGATAACATTGTCTTCGTTTCTACGCTTCATGGGGGCTAGCGCTAATGACTATCTACGTTCACAATCGTACCGACGATACTCCTACGGGCAAGCGGTCGCGGGGTCCTATATACAAGATGGAATGCGAATCTAGACAACATCTTCCACATGCTGCTGTGAGATCCTCTCGGGCTCCCGAGGAGTTCGAAGGCCGCTCTGCGGCGTTGCAAGGCCTTCCTTTGGGCTGCCAAGTCCCCCAGCCAGTGGGGTCATCATCCCACTCGGCGGGACGGGAATCTTGATGTCTTCGGGTGAGCCAGGGATGATCTCTTTGGGTAGACCAGGGATGTGGATTCGGCGCGCCTCGTTCTGATAGCTTTCGGGTATTATCTGAAGAAGTCAGTTAGCTGAGGTGTTCAACGCCGTTAAACCTGTAACAATCGCCTCACTTCAATTATCTCGTCCCGTGGAAACTCCAGGAATGGAATGTCGGCGGCATTGCATGCCATCAGATATCCATAAAGCACTCTTAATACGCTCTCGTGCGCGATAATCAAGAGGTCATTCTGCTCGCGCTCAAGCTCCAGGATAATCGGCTCCAGCCGTACCGCAAGGTCATGATAGGACTACCAATATAGTCAGTTTCGGAACCCTCCATGACTAAACGCAAACAAGAACACGGCCTACCTCTGCACGAGGGTAACGATGGTGATAGGGGTCAAGATCATGCTTCGCCACCTCGTCCGGATACTCCTGGCGGATTTTCCGTTCCGACATCATCTCGCATACCCCAGGGTTCAACTGGCTCATTTGTGATCGCTGCCGTACTTTGTATCCTTTCTCATGGAGGTACTTGGCGGTTTCGACTGTCCTCCGTCGCGTAGACGTCCAGACTGTCAGCGGCTTTAGTTCGTAGTCTTTCTCCCCTTGGTCGGCCATAGCTTGTCTTTCAGCCTCCCTGTGCTGGAGCAAGCACTCTGTCATCTTTTTGGCGTACTCCTCTCCTTGCTCGGAGAGTGAGGCATCCGCTTTGTATGAGCCTGCTTCCAGTGAAACGCCGGCCTAGTCACACACACATTTTCGTCAGTATATTAAAGATCTCCCGTCAATATGCGTCGCAACAGGCAGACTGACTCTGGCAAAATACGTGTGTCTTGATTTGATATGGAGGTTCAAGAGGTAGAATACAATCCGATTAGAGAGATAGCCAAAGCTTTTGTTGTTTACAATCAGACGTTCACCTGCGTTGATCATCTGGTGAGAAATTAGCGAAAGGGAAGCCGCATCATGCAGGATATAGCAGATACCTTGATGTAATTGAGGTCCGTCTCCTCCATAGTCTGGAATTGGGGGATACGGGCAGCTATCCTGGTCAAATAATGTTTGACCGCGTCTTCTGAAGACCACCCTACGTACTGCCGAGGGTGAGTATGCGCGATAGAATCGGGGTTCCATGGTAGCTACACGTACGTCGGGTGAGGATATCTTGACCCGTCGGACATTCTCCTCGATAATGCGTTCATCGTCACACCACGATTCAATGAACAGAGTCTGGATTTCCATGGAGGGCAGAATTAGCAAATGTGTGATATTAAGGGTAGGTCGATTTCGAGTACCTCTATATCATGCTTGGAGAATTCCTTGGCGAGTGACCGTCGTCCCGAAGCGATGGGATTGACTGCATCGTATATCGCTATCTGCCCATTCTCATGATTCAAGAAGTGGTATATATCTTCGCGACATCGCTTAACAATCTTCTGCCGTAGGAGCACAGACGAAGCCGACGCTATATGTTCGATTAGCAAGCGAAATTGTTTAAAATAAAAGTGGTCAGCCCCTCAGGCCGGCCACGGTACGTCTTCGTGGATATAGAGGCCATCGCGTACCGTTGACAAAGAAGTAGTCATCAGGGATATCTTGGCCGTAGGGGATGGTAGCACGTCGATAATCGCCGAGGTGGAATATTCTTGTCTTGACACCTAACCTGCGATGATGTCAATTCGGCTCTGCTTAGCAATAGAGCCATGGGCCGGATGGTGTACTTACCAGCGAAGGTAACGTGCCAGAGCGACCGACATATGCCTGACCAAAGGTTAATGAATGGAGTGGACCAATGACGAATGGGTTTGGTCAAACGAACGTCTTGCCTCTTGCCGGTAATCCTACCGTGATGATGACAATGCGGCCGGAGTGGAAGAGTCGGCCGGATTCGGTGCTGTAGAGCTGCGCGGGAGCCAAATCGGCCTTTTCAGGCAGGTCGTGAATTGCATCGACGAAAGTCGACGACTTGCGCCGAAATCGCGGGGAGTTGGCAACGATATCCGCGGTTCTAGGAGTACGTTAGAGCGAGTGGAATCGATAATCAGGAAAGGTTCAGCGGTATCGCAAGTACTCCGGACCCAGCAGGACGATTCGGAGAAGAAGCGAAACATATCGAGGAAGGAAGGACTGAGTCGAGCTTACAGTAACGTATCCATGGCGGTAATGATAATAATGGCGAGATGGGATGGGATGGAATAGTTCGGGGAGAAGGAAGAATAGTAGAGTCAAGCTTGGGCTGGGCTAACGAGGGGTATCGGTAGAGAGCAATAGAGACGAAGGAAGGCGCTCAGCACATCCCCGCACAAAAGCAAGTCCCAGTAATGACGGAGGATTAGGTGGTAGAAGTAATAAGTACTGCTTTTTGCAAGGAGACACTCTCAGGAAAAAAAGCAAGACAGCCCAATCGGGCGGCAGCAAAGACAAATCAAGTTGTTGTAACTGTCAGTAAGTCAGTGATGTGACTACCTGACTACCAAGTAGTAGTAAGTAGTAGTTAGTTAGTAGTGTACTAGAGCTGTACACCGTCGGTGGTATAAACTATAGACCGATCCACACCCGATTGGTTGCTCGTCTCCGAGAAAAGAAAAAAGAAAGAGAGAGACAGAGATAGGAAGGGCTTGTGACAAAGTCGAGACAATTTGAATCACAACAAATTTCCGAAAAGTATGATATAAGATCCGTGAGACCTCTTCTTTTTCTTATTCTTCTTCTCTTCTTCACGAATTAAGGGAGATGAACTAGTTAGTTACTAGATAGCTTCGAGGATTATATCATCGCCGGCCAAACTAAAGATCCCAATCCCGGCGCAGCCCGAAGCGGGCTAAACTACATTGAGGGAGTCAGTGACTACGGCGCAGCACAGCGACGGCCCAGCGCAGCCGGGGCGGAAAGGCGCCAGTCACTTTTTTCAAGCCGAAAGCTCTGGCAGTCGAAAGAACGCCTGGAAACTGAACTTCCCCATCACCATCTCATCCATCTCCCTCCCCCAATCCATCTGCCCTGGTGTTCAACCTCCCTCCTCTCAACTCCCCAGAGCAGGTCGGACACAACCTTCACTCCTCAATTAGCAAGAGCGTCGTGTTATTCCTCACGTTGCTCTTCGCCTTTCCAGGTTCAATTTCCGGGCTGGTCTCAACGAGGTCTCTTCACTTTTCCTCCCCCCAACAAGGACGAACCGCGTATAACGATCATCCTCCGTTTCTCTCCCATCCTGTATAACGACTTTTAATATCTCCTCAGACTTCATAATGTCCGACTCTCTAGCTTTGCCTTCCTTCCTCACGGACAATTCCGTGGCCGCGGCCTTCAAGGATGCATACACCTCGTTCTCCGAGCGCAGGGCCGCCCTCGGCCTTCCCAACCCTGGCACCCTGGATAACATCTCCCGGGAGGTGCAGAAGGATGTTCTGCTGTCCAACTTCATGTTCACCGGTCTCCGGGCGGACCTGACCAAGGTTTTCGGCATGTCTCCTCTGTTCCGTGTGTCGCATGCTTTCTCCATGGGCGGATCCGGCAACATGCCCCCATACAACTTCTCCGCCATGTACGGAAGTCCTAAGGTAAGGTGCAATGGTTCTATGTTACCTCTGAATATATAATCTGTGTAGGTGGCTAACAATTTCTCTCGTTGGGACTTTAGGTCTTCATGCAAGGCAACCTCGGAAGCGATGGAGGTCTCGCTGCTGTCGGCAACTACCGTTGGACCCCCAAGTTTGTCACCAAGACCAACACTCAGATCATGCCCGGTGGCCAGGGCTTGATGCAGCTTGATAATGACTACACCGGCGACGATTTCTCCGCCTCTCTCAAGGCTTTCAACCCTTCTTACTTGGAGGGCGGTCTTACCGGTATCTTCGTCGGAAGCTATCTCCAGTCTGTTACTCCCAACCTGGCTCTTGGTTTCGAGGCTATCTGGCAGCGCCAGGCCATGAACGCTCGTCCTGAATCTGCTCTCTCCTACGGTGCCCGCTACAAGACTGCCGACTGGATTGCCAGTGCTCAGCTGCAGGCTCAGGGTGTCATCACCGCCTCCTACTGGAAGAAGCTCTCCGAGCGTGTTGAGGCTGGTGTTGACATGAACCTCCAGTTCGCTCCTAACGCTGCTGCTGCTCTCATGGGTGGTCCCAGCCGTGACGGCACCACTGCCATTGGCGCCAAGTACGACTTCCGTGCTTCCACTTTCCGTGCTCAGGTCGACAGCACCGGAAAGGTCAGTTGCCTTCTGGAGAAGCGGATAGCTATGCCCATCGCTCTTACCTTTGCCGGTGAGATCGATCAGGCCAAGGTGAGCTTCACTTCCTGCAGTGTCCCTTCATTCCAGGTGGATGATTAGTGACTAACATGTTGTTCTCTTTGTAGCAAACGGCCAAGCTCGGTCTTGCTGTTTCCCTTGAGATCGCGGGCGAGGAACTGATGGAGCAGCAAGAGAAGATGAGCCCTGAGGACATGGTCCCTCCTCCCTTCTAAGCACGCTCTGACGTGCAGCTGGGGCTAATGGGGCCCACCTGAAAGTGGGAGGACAGAAGCTATTGCTCTGCATCCGCCCTCGGCTTATACCTTTTTCACTATTTGTTTTAGTAGCTCTTCTCTCTCCATGTGCATGTTTGGACGATGGTGTATCACATCGGTTATCCCCACGAATGCGGTTTGCTGGTCCAGGGAGGCAGTCGTTTGGCGCCACGGAACCAAGTTTTGTATAGATCCATCTTCGGTCCAGTCGAGATATCATTTCGATTTTGTCTATGCCTTCATCTATGAATGTACCCCTGTCTCTTTTTTTTCCCCGCTGTTCTACTTTTTCTTATCATTTTTATCTCGACGGCAACCTTTGGCCGATGGACATGACTGCTAGGCATGCATGGAAGCATCATCTGCGGAAAGCTGTTGCGGTGTTTGTTTTTTTATCCTTAACGCATCATAGATGGGGCAATGTAAAACACGTTCTGCTTCTTATGACATGGAAAATCGAAGTGAGAGTGACGGACCTTGTGATGGGATGGACTCCTTGCGTCGCTGAGGGACCCGGGTCATTCATCAGGGTCACCTGCGTTAGCCAAAGACCTTTTGAAAACGAATGGAGTAAGAGCAAGATTTTATCAATTTCACGGGACATAACCGACGCTGCATCGGGGGCACCTTCCCTCATCTCGTATGCCATTGCCGAACGAGGGTTCCTGAGATGTCTCCTGGCAATACCCGTATTCTGCGCCAACACATCTCCCCCAACAAAAATAGCGGCCACTTTTGCGCTATGAACCTGTAGCGAGGATATTTCCACGAGCATGACCTTTGCACGCCCTGACACCTCGTGACTGCTACACGAAGGTTATTGCCAATAGTTGTAGCTCGATGAAGTGACTGCCAGATCAGACGATCATAATAGTTCCCCGACGACAGAGTAACAAAGAAGTGATTTAGCAGTAAGACAGGAAAAGTGGGAAAGGAAGAGCAGCGGAGGACTAAAGAGGCCAGAACCACGATCACGATGATTATCTAGATAGTTGGTTGTCAATCAGAGCCACAACTAAAAAAGGAAAGATGATGAATAAACTTATACTAGTAAATGTCAAGTAAATATACCTCTTGCGGGTGAGCAACGTCCAGTCATGTAACAAAACTACCATATGTAGATAATGTCATGCAGATACAAGGATAAAGGATCCATTCACTTCTCCAGCCCATTACCAAAAACAGTATACTCAACTCAACTCAGTCTCTCTCACTCTCTGGCCCGCCACAGCAAAGACGCCGTCTTGGACGCTAAAAAGATAGCGTGGTCGTCTGTTTGACCCAAACACACCATTCCTTTTTTTTACCCTTTTTTTCCTACGGAGCAGCAGGGGCCAAACTGGGATGATAGTGTCACGCTTAAGTGGGAATCTGGTGGGTTCTCTATAATTATGGTCTGGCTGTAATTAGGCAATATTCTGGACTAGTGGATTAGTTGGGAATTGGAGGCACGCAGGTTAGTATTCTCCACCTTTACTCCGTAGTTAGTGTGAGGGGACTCCATTTTCTCTTACTCCATCGTTATAAGCTGTGTTGGGCAGGTGACTTCGAGGGATACTAAACACTGTTAGATACGTAGTAGGGCAACCTTGATTTTTGGTGGATGATACAGCATTTTAGTTACTGTTGTGCCTGGTGATGGCATTGTGCCCTGAGTAGACTAAATCCTCAATGAATTTCTAGACTCTAGAGGGACTTAGTGGGTAGTAAGTACTAGGAGGTATGGAGTCTTCGTTGTCCATCAAGAGTGGAATATTACACGACCTAATGCAAGCATCTCCTTACTGTATAGAATAATAGAAAACGGGAATACTTAGTACACAGTAGTACCTACAGGGTCAACTGCCTCGCAGATATTTTTTTTTTTTTTTTGCCCCGCGAGTCTAGGGCCCATAAAGATGGTACTACATGAAATATATCAAGATAACCTAGACGATTTACATTCGTCACGGAGAGTCGGAAAGGAAGTAGAGCCGTCGTGCCCGGTCATTAGCCCATGTAATTTCAATCCCGCCCGATGGCACACACGTCTTGCACTACTGCGCTTTTCCCCCCGGTCTCTCCTCACTCTGGAGACTCCAGTGCTGTCTACTCCCCCAATGTAGCAGCTATTTTAGCCTCCATTCTATCTACTTTCACCTACAGTGTCCTATCCTTCCACCTTTTCCTAGCTCGAGATCTGGAAAAGATTAAATCACGGAATCAGACCCGGTTACATGGTCCTACTACCCACCAAGGTCCGATTCGCTCATCAGGCCTCACAAAAACCCCAACTGGTTGGGCCTCGTGCTGGTGGCAATCCTTGGGTCTAAATGCGAGGAGAAACCCATGGTTGAAGGTTCACTATGACCCTTTGCTGGCGGAAAGAAGGCCAACAGTTGCCCCACGGTGACATCATTCCCTATCTCTTCGGTTGGACATGAAATTATCTCGCTCGCTCGCACTCTCTTTCCCCCCCGTCCCTCTCCTTCGCTCTTCGTCCTTAGTGCTGGACCTGCTTGTGTGGTGGGTTTCTTGGGGGTTCTTCATTGTTGATTTCAATAACAGTGGTGGTCATTGGGTCATGTTCCCTTGTTTCCACTTTTCCTGCTCCTGTGATTGTCCTTCAATGGTCGCCCAAGTAACTCTCACGCTCAAAGAGAAGGGGGGGAGAGACACCTAAATAACTACCCCAGTCTTATTGGACGCTTGATCTGGCTGACACAAAAGGCATCTCGGGACACAAGGAACAGGTTTCCGCGGCTGAATTCTTCCCAAAGTCTACCGTGAAGGGCAATAGCCAAGATGACACAACATACGGAGCAATCTTGACTCTTTGAGAGACACAAATGTGGTGTTGCTATAGGGCCAGGTTTCATGGACAAGATGGCCAAGGCAGGGTTTGACTTCTGTGATAAGATCAGGTACATCTGTCCTTTGGTACACAGTAGAGCTGGGTTCATGCCCTGGACGATACTAAGTAAACGAAGTGCCGAGCTACCGCTATTGGCTCAGCCTTGGAGATGGCCGAAAACGCACCTCGGATACTTTTGGGGGGAGGGGGGGGGGCTGGGCTGGTTATGATGTTGATCTCGGTTAAGGCAGGCACATTTCTTTGATCCTCCTGCCGAACATCTACAGGGTTGTCTTTCCGAGAAACAAGCCTTGATGGTATTGAGAAATGTACTAGTCGTAGTGGTGGACACCAAATGTTCACATATATCAACGCTGTGAGTGATATAGTCCTGCCAATATGTACCTTAGTAGTAGGGTTTCAACGTTGCGGACATAACAGGCTCTCAGCCTACATAGTACGACCGAGGAGGTAAAGCATAAATTGCAGCAGGCCTTTCTGAAACAACAATGATGAAAACAAAGCCATCGATGTCATCCATTTTACTGGTCTACCGTTCTACCCCTGCTTGTTGGCCTGCAGCAGTCCTCATCATTATCAGATAGTAAACCATCATTGAGTCTGAACTACTAATTAAGAACTCGGTATCACTTGTGTCCCAGCAGGGCCCCTAGTCTGTTTCACGAAAATCACATCATGAACTATGGAGGGATATCTGAAGCAGTGGTAGAATTGACCATTTGGTGGCCAATGGTTGTTACATGAGCTGCCTCACCGAGACAGCAAAGCTGCAGTCACCTGAGAGTAACTCGGGGGGAAAAAAAAAAAAAGAAAGAAAGAAAGAAAAAAGTCACCAACAACTTGAGCCAGTTGAATGTGATCTGCTGACGCTGTGTGGCCCCCCGGCGATCCGCAGTAACCAAGCAGCATGCCTTTTAGCTGCCTGCCGACCGGGCCAAACTCTGAAAACGAGAGCCAAGGATCAGTGAATGAGGTAACCCACCTCATGATTGCAATGGCCCTAAAGAAAGAGCCCTACATATTAATAATGTTTCATGATTCGTAGGAACTGTTAGCCATGGTAATATTGCCTGTCTCTCTTTGTTGATGGGTATGGTATGTCGGATGGTATGCACAGTGGCAGGGTGAGGCTGTACCTAGTAGAGCCTAATCCAAAGCCTATGAACAAAATTGCCTGCACCTGAATTCACAAAGTCATGGTTTGGTAGATCTTTCTCTCGTATCGTTTCTTAACAATCACCTGACCCCTCGACTGTAAACAACTTATTTAGCTAGTCACGGTGGGTTCAACTAGGCCTCATTTTAGACAATTATCGATATTCTGTCGAGGCATACATAGCACTCCCAGACTCTCAGCCTGCCAGTTTCTGTGGTGCACCAAGCGCACAAATACGCACAGGAGGATTTCTTATGTGCATCAATCAGTTTGGTCCTTTTTGAGGTACCATTGAGTCGATGTGGGGCAATTCTTATATGATACTTGTTAGTGTGAATGCCAGGTATTGTATCTGTATTTCGAAACTTGAGGTACGTCAAGCATCAGCAAAGAGATAATCACATGTGGTATGTATGTTATTGGGTACCTACTCCCAAGTACGTGCATGCTCAGCTTATATTCAACCCCCCCCCTCCCAGCAAAGTTCAATGAGATGTATAGACTGTCTGCAGTGTCACCGGAGCTATAGCCCGCATATAAAATACTTATGTATGTTTGATGCTAGATACGTAGAGAAAAATAAAAAGGGGGAAAAAAAAGAAGAAGAATGAACCCAACGGATGTGCGTGGTCTCGAGTTCGGTTTGCAGCACAGCTACCGATAGCTCGACTAGTCTATTATCCTTCCTCTACATCCATTCTTCTCCTACAGCTCATGAACGCAAGAGCCTAATGTTATTATGATTGACATTTTCTACCCTTTGTCAATATGCAACATACACTCTGACCTCGTCTTTAATTCGACGACACACCTGGATGAGTTCCGAGTGGCTTACCCCGACGCCTCCGAACATTAGATTTTTCAAGCCCTTCCCTGTCTCAGCTTGGTATGTGGCTGCAATTAGTCCCTCATGTAAATTCAGTTGATGTAGATAAGGTGGCAAATGAGAAGGTTATGGCTCAAGAATGGCATGCTCTCAATCTTAAGTAGGAGTTTTTCAAGTCGTGTTATCTGAGATTATGGTCTGCTGAGACCTACTGACTGTAGTAGCTGATACGCTTGCAAGTTTGCGCAGCAAGGGGTTTGCATAATCTCCCGTGCTGGTTCTCTGTGTAAGTGTTCTTGCTATTCTTACGCCCCAAAGTTCAGTGACGGTTAAGCTACTATTGAAACAAGTCAGAAAACAAATGCGAGAGATGTCCAATCGTATCCAATTTCCAATCCCGACATGCCTCTGTGAGTCTCATAAGCAACCTACTTATGTCCATGTTTCTGAAGAAGCAAGCTGCAAGGATAGAGGAGGTAAGGGAGCTAGGACACGGCACAGAGCGTTTCTAGATAGTCCGACAACTGTTGTGTTGAGCCGATGAGTGAAAATCCATGTATGTCGGGCGGTCGTACACGATCGAGATGCATACATGCCAAGCCTTATAAAGCGGAATACTAAAAAGGAGAAATCTGGAAAATGGTATTGAGGAAAAAGCAAAATTCCAAAAGGCGGAGGATTTTGTCTCTTTGAGCTACCGGTGACAGCTAAACGTGTGAAACATGAGCTTCACATGATCGCCTTTACTATCAGAACTACAATGACCCTTGCTACTATATTAAGAAGGCCAACATTAGCTGCTCCTAGTACTAAGTGGATAGATCATTAGTACCATATGCGCTTGCCCTAGTCATTGTGGGGTTGGCTGTAGAGGCGTCGTCTCTGATAGTTACTTAGTAGTGTAAGTCTGTTCTCATCCCGTGACTCTTCTTTTTTTTTTGGATGATGTAAATTTGTGATATGTCATTCGCTTCCAATACGATAGATTTGTAACCCGACGAGAGTTTATTGCCGCTAAGCAACATGCCCATGCAAAGCGATGGGTGAGCTTACAAGAGACCGTTCGGATGAATGCAGAGTGGCAATTGCATCATGCGGTACGAATTTATACAGCTAAGTACTTCCTCGACTGAGTACTTCATTTTCTGTTGAGGCGCTTCAGGAAGTACGAATCTCAACGATGTAGTAAATAGACTACCAAGAATACTCAACGGCTACAAGTATTGGTCTACTACTCAAGCGTGGACACGATGAGCATGGACCACGAAAGTGCACGTGGGCAAGGCATCGCCCACTGCATCCAGATCGTTTGCAGTATACTTTTCCTACTCCGTAAGAACTTGAGCCAAGACTCTGGACTCTACACATGCGTTATGCATTGGCCTATTTTCGACACTGGTCAGACATGATGCCCTTATGATCCCGTATTGAGATGGTGATTATTGCTACGTCATTGCAGTATTGACATAGGCTCAAGCATCCTTTGTTGCTGTACCTGTGGCGTCGGACATAAACAGTCGCATGGTGACATGTTTATGGCCAGTCCTCCCGAGAGGATTCCAAGCCAACCTCAAACCCGACCGCAGTAAGAGTCAAGAGTACAGCAGGAGTACATATGCAGCCGGCCCTGGTGAGCAGCCCACCCGCCCTCCAAATACGTTGAAGTCTAGATCCTGGTCAAATATGCGGCGACCGAATACACACCCGCCTTCCTCCGCACTACTACTATCCTACCTTTTAGCACTTAGCACTTAACCCTAGTTTTCCGTCATTTTTCTTGGGTTGGGTGGCTTGATCTGTATTTACCATACGTATGCAATAGTACGGGTAGCCAATGAACGGGTTTCCAGTGAAAATCGCGGCTGGTCACTTGACACCCAGGGGCCAATGGCAGCACATGATGGCAGAACTACCCTGCCTGTCACCGGAACCGCCCAGTGGACCTCCTACCTCACGACCTACTTACTTTACTGTCCATGTCTGAAATCTTCATCGGGCTATGACATGGATGGGAGGTACTAGTGATCCAGGCACCTCTTCTGTGGCTCGCCTTTGGCTTTCCCGATCGGCATTCTACGGGCCGCGGGAAGAAGTTCTGAGATGGTTTGAAAGGCCTGGATCCCTCCAAAGCCTAGAGCTAGTTGTAGCTAGCTATTGAGCTCAACGGATATGACTTTCAAGATACACTAGATACGCCCCTAATGTCGATATAGGTCATTCTCGTCCCCAGATAGGGAGGAAAGATTGTTGAGGCGCGCGACTCACCGATCCCTAGAAGAGCGTTGGTTTCTCTTCCATCACTTACGTACAAACTCAGAAGTACCGCCGTGGTTGCTAGTTAGTTAGTTACGGAGATCTCCTGACCAACCCCTCCTTTCTCTACTGCAGGGACAAGGAAGATTTGGTCTTGCTGGTCTTGTTCTAGCCCACCCCCTGTAAAATGCGATGCCAGGAATGGTAGGAATCAAGGCCATTGATCCCGAGCGTGGTCTGCTTGTATTGGTGGGGGAGTTAACAACCCAACATAACTAATGAGACACATTACTATTGCGATCCAAGGGTGTTCGGGAATGGAGATGCACCACTCGCCCGTTTTAAGCACCACTAGATAGTCAGATATTGAACGGCAATATTAATGCTAAATCTCGAACCCAAGCGCTCGGAGCCAAGGTCATATGCCCATTAGGAATGGGCCCTCATTCTCTCAATCCCAGCAGCAGCTGTCTACCTCCCGCCCAATCTGGATGGTTCCACCTCAAGTCCGTCATCATTATTCTCGACCTACTGATCTGCTCAAGTTACAACTCTACCATCAGATGTAACTTGTTTTGATGATATTTGTGTTTTATCTACTGTATACTTCTGGGCCTACCGTTCCGTTTCATATTCGGCCTAGGAATGACGCCAGCCGCGGACCCAAAAATGCCTCCTTTTCTAATCTTGAAGTGGGACATATACCAATCAATTATTTCTCGATTGACAGACAGGGGTGTGTCACTTGGTGGGGAGCGGAGCAAGAACAGTTTCACTGTACAGGATATAGAATCTAGGAAGTGACCATCATACGTAGAAAACCTCATCAAATGTGTATATAGTGACATATCTTAGCGGCATCATCTAAGATGGGCAGAAGTAGCATCGCACCGCCTATCTACTAGCGGTACCCAGGTACCTTGCTTCCGGTAAGGGCAATAGCGTCATAGCCAGACGCAAAGACCTGGGGCAGAGAGCGACCGATCCGGTATTGTATTGTATCAATACCTAGGTATACAGACACATTATTTCCATTCATTACGCCGCTCTCTCTGTCTCTCTCATTTTTTCCCTTTTCTACAATAGTTCCCTTAATTTTTGATTTTCCATTTTCTTTCATTCTGGCTATTTAATTTTCTTGCCCCTCCGGGGCCGAGCCCACAATATACCCTCATGCCTATGGAGTTTCATCATTAGCTACCAGTTGCCGTAATGGAATGGGATAATAAAAACAAGATAAAAAAATAAAATAAAATCAGATTAAAATGGAAGGAAATGGAGTAGAGTGCTAAGATGCCTATAGCTTTATATGGGGTACTCTTGACTAGGCTGGTGGGCTATAGGTATAAGTGCTCTCCTTATTATTATTAGTCCAACTGGGGCATTATTGTTCGAACGGGAATACTACTATCTCTACTCGAGGACGAACGCTACTGTGTAAAGAATGGTTATTCTTATGCCGGCGGCCATAAACAGCAATCCCTCAGGTTCTCTGTACCAATAATCCCAACCGTCATCATCCACATCTCTGTTGCCTCTCCACACACTGCCATAGCTCCGTGCCCATCGGTTGTTACCCAGGCTTTCTTTCTTTCGGGAAAGGTAAAGTTACTAACTGCTGTAAGTTGAACCACTCCCGCCCCCCTCCTCCTCCTCCTCCTCCCCTCCTCCACCCCAAGCCAAACCCAAACGTTGCCTTCTGGGGCCTAACGGACTAGTAACAGACAGGGAGAGAACAGTAACAACTTAACCACATATTGAGACAGGCTGGTTTTTGATCGGATGCTAGTAATCTTCTCCCTCCTTTTGGTATTGGTATCTTCCTCCAAGAGTCAGAAAAGCGCCCGTGTGCTCCTGATTCATTGATTTCATTATTAGTATTATTACTTCTCTGAAAGAGAGGTCCCTCTCTTTTTTTTTATTTCCCCCCCTTTAACCTTTTTTATTTTTTATTCTACTTACTGGCCTCCCTGGTCAACTACGTCTATTACTATTCTTACTGATATCTCTTATTTGCCCGGAGTTGGCTCGTGTGTTCCTTGCCTTCTTCCTCTCCTCCCGGTGCTTTATTCCCGCGTTCCTGCAGCCCTCGCGTGTTCGGGCTTCGTCGTTCCATCAACGTCACCTGCTCAAGTCTCTCCTCTCTTACTATCCTCTCTTCCCACTTCCTTCTCCTCCGACCGACCATCCCTCCCTTTTGAGAGCCTGAGCTTTCTCTTACCTACACTTACTTATTTTACCCGCCTTTCCTTGAAATTCCACTGCCACACTTCTGCTGAGGCGTGAAATTCAATACCTACACTTTACACTCCTCCCTCCTCGAATCAGCTGCGGTTCGGTACTCTCTTAACTACTAAACTGCTACTTGCTACTGCTGCTGGTTCTTTCACACATAACTTCACTTTTTTCTCTTTTCTCTTTTCCTTTCTATTTTATTTTTTTTTCTCCTTCTCTTCGAGAAACATTTGTCCCTTCTATCCAAACCCTCCTCCCCTCCACCACCCACCGCTGCCCACACCAACCCCCTCCCTCATCTAAAGAAACCCGCTTCACAATCTTTGGGGCGTTCATTGCTCAGGTCTTGTGTCTGCAACTCTTGGCACGCTCCCCAAGTCCATTGGTCCCCTTGGTCTGAGCCTTCCCTTCTACGATTCGCCCGCCTGCTTCTCAACCTTTCATCTCACGCGCACCTCCACTCAACATCCACCGTTCGGATATTCCGCCCATCCAGAGCACCCCTCCCAACTAGTGCTCCACCGAGTACAGTCTGCCCAAAACGGACCTCACGCCTTACTTTTGCGTCCCTTCCCGACATCCGCTGTTGAAGTCCAGCCCTCCTTATTCTCGATAGCATCGCCCACGTTGCCGCCCGGTGTTGTCCCCACTAGCCGTCCGTGATGTCACAGAATAGACCTGGGGTCTTCTCGAGTCTGCGCATGGGTGGTAAGAGACGTGCCGTTCTTTACGCAATTGTTGCTGAGCCCATCTGCTGGACTCGATTGCTAACCTTTTCCTTCTTGTTCGCGATCATATAGAAGTCGTCCGCGAGAAAGTCCAGGATGGACTTACGGGAGAAACCAAGGAGATCTCCTATTCACAATGTAAAATCGTTGGCAATGGATCCTTCGGCGTCGTCTTCCAAACGAAGATGATGCCCAGCGGCGAAGATGCTGCAATCAAAAGGGTTCTCCAGGACAAGCGGTTCAAGGTATGCTAGGCCACCAATCCTCGTCATCGCCTACCCGGTCGCTAACAATAACCCCCCTCCCCCCTCAGAATCGTGAACTTCAGATCATGCGGATCGTGCGCCACCCGAATATCGTAGAACTAAAGGCATTTTACTACTCTAACGGAGAAAGGGTATGTCGCTCTCCCTTCAACACCGCTTGCCTTCCTCTTGCTTCCCCTCAGTTCATGCTGCAACCCGTCTTACTCGTCATTTTACCTACTTGTCTGCTGACCATGCCATGGAAATGTCATAGAAAGATGAAGTGTACTTGAACCTCGTCCTCGAATATGTACCAGAGACGGTGTATCGGGCCTCGCGTTATTTCAACAAGTTGAAGACAACCATGCCGATGCTGGAAGTCAAGCTCTACATCTACCAACTTTTCCGTTCTCTGGCCTACATTCACTCGCAGGGAATCTGCCATCGTGACATAAAACCTCAAAACCTGCTGCTCGACCCGAACACCGGTATTCTGAAGCTGTGTGACTTTGGATCCGCCAAGATTCTTGTCGAGAATGAGCCTAATGTTTCATACATTTGCTCCCGCTACTACCGCGCACCTGAGTTGATTTTCGGCGCAACGAACTACACCACGAAAATTGGTATTTCTCTCAAATTCAACCCAGGGGCTCTGCGTATGTACTAATATACATCAGACGTATGGTCTACTGGTTGCGTGATGGCCGAGTTGATGCTAGGACAGCCACTCTTCCCAGGAGAATCCGGAATCGACCAGCTCGTGGAGATCATCAAGGTCCTGGGCACCCCGACGCGGGAGCAGATTCGCACCATGAACCCGAACTACATGGAACACAAGTTCCCGCAGATCAAGCCACACCCCTTCAATAAGGTGGGATCCCTTAGCGGAAACAATCTCGAGCTAAAAATGCTGATGTCCATCAGGTCTTCCGGAGGGCCCCCCATGAGGCCATCGATTTAATCTCCGCCCTCCTGGAATACACGCCGACGCAACGTCTGTCAGCAATTGAAGCGATGTGTCATCCATTCTTCGACGAACTTCGGGATCCTAACACTCGGTTGCCCGACTCGCGGCACCCGAACGGCTCCACGAGGGAGCTCCCTAATCTGTTCGACTTCTCCAGGCATGGTCGGTCTCCCTGAAAACCACTTTTTTTGGTTGCCCCGCCCCCAATACTGACGATCTGACACTGTCATAGAACTTTCTATCGCGCCCGCAATGAACAGCCGGCTGATTCCCCCTCATGCACGTCCTGCACTTGAGGCTCGCGGGTTAGATATCACCAACTTCAAGCCTCTTACGAAGGAAGAAATGATAGCGCGTCTTGACTGAGTCAACCCGTGCAAATCTGACGAACTACACGCCCTTACGTGTGCAAATATGTTTGCACCTGATTGCGGAAATTTGATGTCATGCCCTACGAGCTTATCTTCATGCATCAGGCGGTTCTTGAACTGGGGAAGGTTTATTCGAATCTGTAGACCTAATCCATAGGCTGGGGCATCCGGGAGCTGGCTTCTGTATGGCAGAATACTGAAAGACAGTGTGAAACGTGAGCATGAGGAGCAGGAGAAAGGAAGTTAATGGAAGAAAACAAAACAAAATATCAACAAAAAAAGGAAAGGGAAAAAAGCAATGAAAAGAAAAAGAAAGGTTTCCATGGAGAGGGAGAGAGGTGTGCCGGGATCTCTGGGAGACTAGGTGGAGCAGAGGGAATTGTGACTCTTGACGACCACAAAAAGTTCTTAAGAGTGGGAGGTTTTAGTGGATCATGACCGTTTCACGCAAAGGGGTTGACGGGATGGTATAGCCTGGAGTTACTGAGGTGTCTGAGACAGCTCTTGGGAGGTAAAAAAGTGATACCCTTATTGCGTGAGTCTGCCTTCCGGGATCAAGTCTGCATAGCTTCATATCTCGATCGAACGGGCTCTTTTCACAAATTGCCGCAAGTTTTATTCACAAGGGCAGAAAGATGAATATCCTACAAATGCGTCAGATATCTTTGAGGATTTCTTTGTTTGGATGCGCCATACCGCGTGCCTGTCAGTGTGCTTGAATATAGGTATTGGAGGTCTTCTTTCCCGACTTGCCGCGCTAGAGGCCCCGTTCATGCTGTTTCTGCTGTGAATTTATATCTCTTCGTCTCCGTTCTCATATTCTCGTGGTTCCTTCCTCTTACCTCTACCTTCACCTCTCTAGTCCGCCCCCTTCCCTCTCTTCTAAGCCTCATACACTTGGCGTCGACTGCCATGAAGCTATCCAGACGATTCACCTATTTACCTGCTTGCTGCTGTTCTTAGTCATTTATCCTAGAGGCCCCGAAGAACATTGCCTGGATACTCTCGTTCTCGTACTGTGTATAACCACAGCATTCTGTATCTTCTCTTCGTTTGACCTCTTCTGGCTTGCATGCTTGCAGATTTCTATGGGTTACAAGTATGCTCTTGTGTTTTACTGGGGTAGCATATACGCGTATGGGTATTACTTTGGTTTCAAATGTTCTTCAGCCACCGTAGCTGTGACATAGATGACACAGTCAGAACCTTCTCATTAAGTAGTATATATCAAATAGTAATAGTTGAGTCCTCTCTGAACGCAGCACAATTTCCACGGCTCCATTGGAGCTCTGGTTGTGAAGACAGAAGGAACATGGTTAGATAATCAGCGGGACGGAGGATCCCGAGTCCCGACCAGCAGCTGAGCACTATTGATGTTTTGCTTCTTAGACACATGCCCTTCCTATCGCGACGGCATTACCGATATAGAGCTCCTCGCTGCTGCTGCCGCCCTTAGAAGCTGTGCTGCCTACAGCTTGGTTTGGCTCCTTATTCTACCCAGAAGCAATCGTTGCGCGAGACATTTCGTGTGGACATAAGGCCCGCTAGCGATGGCCGACTACGAACGCCGACCTCATGGCCCCAGGGGTGGTGGGCGGAAGAGGCGCTACAGAGGTCAGTAAAACATGCGGTTCCGCTGTGATCGAGTCCTTGTGTGCAATTGCTTGCTTGCCAATTGCTATCATGCCCCCAGACTCCGTCTTTGATTTCTAGCTGGAGCTCCCCTCGTGGCCACTCACCATTAACAATTTCTTGGGATCTGCAGAAGATGATGACTATGACCGCCGCCAGAGGCGTCGATACGAGGAACCGCTTATTGTCAAGGTCCGGAGGCAATTGCTTACGATCGCTGAATCTGTACGAATACCCTCTTCCAAAAACTCGATAAAGTGTGGCAAGTGCCGGCACTCACTGCGAACGTTCTTTAGGCTGCCAGACGAGCAGAAGATGACGCTGTGAGCATCGCAAAAAGTGTGGCAGATAACTACGAAGATCAGGAGTTTAGGAACTCCTTTGTCGACATTGCGCTTGACCTGTATGGCTTGACTGGCTTAGCTGCCCCCCTTTGGCCTGTTTGAACCCCCGCCGAGCTCGGAGCTGACGGTGTTTCTATTATACTAGTGTTTTGGAGCAGCCGCTAAAGATCCCTTTCGTTGCCGCGACAGTTCTCATCGCAAATTTTCAGAAATCCGAGCTCGTGTCCGACGTTCTCAGTAGGTCAGGCGTGTGCTTGCAGAAGTACATTGACGCTGGCGCGTGGCGCGAGGTTAAGCTTCTTCTGCGGTTCCTGGGGTGTCTCCAATGTGTCTTCCAAGGGGATGGCATCTTCCCGGTACTGGAAGAGCTCTTTGCGCGCGCTGTCGACCTTCAAACAGCATCCTCGGAAGATGTAAGCGACGCCGATAAACCGACAGTCCCAAAGGGTCGCAGGTTCGCTAACGATGCGCATACAGTTGATCGGTCTGGAGCTGGTGAAAATTATCCTTTTCACCATTCCCTACGTAATGGCCTCCCCAGCAGCCGGTTTCGAGTCCCAGGCCACCGCACTTCTGGAGAAGACCGATATCATTGCTTCCACCCCTCATACTCTTGTGGACCTGGTTAATCCTTTCGGCCTTGAGAACGGAAAGCCAATTGCTACGCCAAGCGTTATCAGCCTCATCCAGAATCAATTACAGAAAGAGTCCGGCCGGGGCTGGGAGCTCGCGTGTCTTCCTAGGCCATGGAGAGGAGCGCTAGAGGCATTGAATGCACAAGAGCCCGAGGAAGCACAAGAGGGGCAAGAATCGCAAGAAAATGGCGCAGAGCCGAAGACTTATGAGAACGGGCCAAAGCATGTATTCCCTCAGATCACCGTTCCGAGTCCGGTGAAAAATGGAACAAGGGCAATTTTCCCTGAGGCGTACCTTTCCGTGTACGCGAATCAAGACATGGAAACAGTCCCTCCTACATCAGATATCGCATCTTCCTTGCTGCGTGATGCCCTTGTCGACACCATCAACATTCTTGATTTCAACCGCATTGCGACGGCGAAGTTCTTGATTGATGTTGACTGCTATTTTACTCCACACACCTTCGTGAAGCGGGCGACTCCTTTTGATAGGCTGCGCGATCTACCGGGTGACATTAATCTCTGGAAACCCGAGGATGTTGCTGTGGACGCCGTGTTTTCTCAACTATTCCAGCTGCCATCTCCCGAGCACAAACTGGTTTACTACCACTCGGTTCTCACAGAGTGCTGTAAGATAGCCCCGGCCGCTATCGCACCGAGCTTAGGACGTGCAATCCGTTTCTTGTATCGCAGCCTAGAAACAATGGATTTGGATCTAAGTCATCGATTCTTGGATTGGTTCTCTCATCACCTGAGCAACTTTGGGTTCACTTGGAAATGGAGTGAATGGTAAGGCTCATGAGCAGGCAGAATGCAGTGCAGATCGGCTAACAATGGCTCAGGATTGATGACTTGGAGCTGCCTCTCGTTCACCCCCGGATGGCCTTTATTAACGGCGCCCTTGACAAGGAGATCCGGCTGAGCTTTGCACAGCGTATCAGGGGCACTCTCCCTGACCCATACCAAGACTTGATCACGGAAGGAAAAGAGAAAGACACCCCCGATTTCAAGTACTCGTCTGATTGTAAGTTTTTCCCTTCCTTCGCTTCAGGTCCACTCTTCTCAGTCACTCCTATTTACAAACTCGACTTTGGCTGGGATTCAAGGATTGGCTAATTTATGTTTCGTTCAGCTACTCCGTATGCGAATGAAGGCAGAGAAATCATGCAACTGGTCCGTAAGAAGGCTAGCGACGAGGAGATCCAGCCTTTTATCAACGCAATTGAAGAGCAAGCCAGATCTCTCGGTGTCGAAGACCCGCTGCTGCCTTCAACTGATGCCTTCGTTACGGCCATCTGCTTTGTTGGCTCCAAGTCTCTGTCTCATGTACTGTCCTGCATTGAACGGAACAAGGAACGACTCCTGGCCATCGGACCCCAGTCTGCACAGGCGAGGCGCCAGATTATAACCTCCGTCATGGAGTATTGGGTCGACCAGCCCGGCGTCGGAATCAACATCATTGACAAGCTTCTCAACTACACCATCTTGACTCCACTGTCAGTCATTGAATGGGCGCTGGTGGACAAGCTAGAGGCAGGAACCGTTCTTGCCAAGTCCCACGTGTTTGAGATGATCTCCGCCACTGTTGGAAAGGTCACCAACCGCCTGCGCCAGATTGTTGCCGCACGTACTCAGCCGGGTCTTTACGAGCCGCAGCTCAGCGTCCTCGATGAGACGCTCAGTCGTGAGAAGGTTGATATGCAATCCCTTTTCAAGGTCATCGAAGACTCCATCGTATCAGTGGCCGGCGGAAGCAACGACGAACAGATGGAAAGAGGAGACGGAAGTGGAAACTTGCCTGAGGATGAAATCATCCGGCAATGGGGCCAGCGCTGGCTCAGAGTGTTCCGCAGGAAAGCTGGCGTCGAGGAATCTTTCATTGCGGACGCCATGGCCACAGCTACTCCTGTCGGCACGGTCGCTCCCCCTCCGGCCCCGGAAGAGACTGGCGCTTCAGAAAGTATCCCCGCAGATGGGGAAATGGATATCGCTGAAGCCGATGCGAGCGTGGACATCGAATGAGCGTGGGAGCTTGGATCAGGCTGTAATCGGATCAGATATGCTTGGGGAAGGAGACCTTCAATCTTCAACTCCAGGATTTCTTTCCATTTTTCTCTTCGCTCTTCTGTATACATACATAAGTTAGGTTGTGGCACTTGTTTTATCTCGACCAATTTCAGCGGGTGAGGGCGTTCAAACTAAAAATCAAAAAGAGTAGTATAACCACTAAAGAGGAGAAAAGAAAAATTAAGGAATAGCTTTAGTTCACTGAATCTTCTTGTGATGTTCTGCTAACATGAGTTTCTTGGTATTTCCCTGCTGCCTTTGTCAACTGAGAGGTGTTGTATCTACACCTATACATATATACAAGGACATATATTAATAACGTAATGTAGTGAATTTTTAGATTAAAATGTAATGTTGAAATCTCCGCTCCCCTTTCCGTTGATCGATCATATATATGTACAAAGCAAAAAGAAAACAAGAAATAAACGAACCAAACAGACAACTGGCCGGTACGATTCCGGTGTTCCTTCACAAGCAGGGGCATAACCAGTGACTCGAGGTTGAATTAATATACACGTCTATAAAGGGGGCTGAAACAATTAATATACTAGGGTCCGTGTTATACAAGACGTAGTCAGGGCGGCGTAGCGTGAGAAGGTCGAAAAATAGGGGGAAGCCATGAACTCGTTATGTGAAGTCTGGGCCCGGGAAACAGAGATAATCTCCATGGACCTGTGAGGTTGAGAACAGATCCCGTATTGACTGGTCATGATCCCCATATTCACAGGTTCTTCTTGGTCTGAGAATCAGCCAGGTACGCCCGATCATCGTCGCCTTCGACATCCTTGAGAATGGTTTCCATCTCCTTGGTCTGTCGCTTCCACTCCTCCTCGCCATTCTTTGTGTCGCGGCGGAAGAGCTCCTCGTTGGGCTTGCGGTAGCTACCGCCCAGACGATCCCAGAGGGTTGTGAACTGGCCATAATTGTAGTTGAAGTACAGGTGGTGCATGGTGTGGCAGGCCGCTCCGTTGATCACTGGGCTGTTGGCAACGTACTCGCCGTCGTGAATCAGCACGGTCCAGAGGTTGATGAACCCGAAGAGGAAGACGTAGGCCAGCTTCTGAAGTGGGAAGATGAACGGGAATACGTGGTAGGGAACACTCTGCGACCAGCCATCAAGCGGGTGAAAGGCGTGGGAGGCGAAGGGACTAGGCATAATCCACTTGTGGTGAGGCTTGTGCAAGGTCTTATAAATAAGCGGGTGGTGCAGGCCGCGGTGAATCCAGTAGATGCAGAGGTCGGTGAACATGATGAATAGCGGGAATTGCAAGATACTGTAGTAGGGGAATGGCTCTTCGGAGAAGGTATCATAGAGCTTGGCGTAGCCACGGACTTCGGCAACCAGAAAAGGGGCAGTCAACAAGGACATAACCGGCATTGAGCGCATAGTCTGGGCGATTTCCATAGGGATTTGGTTCTTGAGGTACTTAGGGTGGTGAACGGTGGTCTTATCCCAGATGAAGATGTAGGAAAGGCTTGCGGAAATGAAGTAGACGATAATACCGAAAATCCTGATCAAGGCGCACATAATGCGCCCACACAGTTAGCCAAAGGAAAGATTGGAAGGGGGGGAACGAACACCCGAGAAAAGAAGGCAAGTGCACATACCAGACGATCAAGAAGAAAGAAAGGAACTGACGATAAATATTGTTCCTTGGCCAGGCGCTCAAATAGGCAAACTTGGAAGGCTCCAAGTAAATCAATTGAGTAGCCGGTTCGTAGACAAAGGGCTGGGTTGCGCCAAAGAACGACAGGGTGCTGTTGGTGACGGTAGTGAAGCCGGGGAGCGAGGCGGATGAGGCAAGAGATAGAGGGAGAAGAGAGGCGTAGAGGCGATCACCAATGAAGGTGTCCCAGATTTCGAGGGCGATATCCATGGTGCCCGGATTTGAGCGGGTGATAATACAATATTATAAGGGTGGTATGCGGAACAAGGTGTTGAAGAATCGGGGGAGAGTTCGGATGGTTCGCGGGGGGAGGAAAGGGGGAAGGAGGAGAGTAGGGTTTAAAAAAAATGATTGAAGTGCCAGCCAGTAGTGGTTGTTGGTAAGTACTACTTTTTAGGTTGGACAATTTGGGCGGGGGATTAAGGGGGGGGAAGGAAAGAATGTAAAATTGGCGAGAAGAAGAATAGTTAGAAGAAAGGAAGGGGTAAAGAAGATGAGAAGAAGATGAAGATGAAGAAGAAGTTAAGTAATATAATTTGCAGAATGGCACTCATCTGCGATTTGGTGGAGGAGGAGCCTATCAGATGGCCGTGAGGATCACACCAGGCGGAACGAGGCCTGCCGTTCCGTCTGATTTGTTGTGAAAAGGGTGGAGATGGTCTACTACTGAGTAATGTATAGTTGTCTACATCTAACTAACTATAGTGATTAGATCTATAACATACGTAAATTGTAAAGTGTCCTATCAGCGCCTTAAGTGGGATTCTTGAATAGTACTAGGTAGTAATTTATTTGTGTTCCTTATCCCCTTCCTAAGGAAACTAGAAAAGAAAAAAGGAAAAAGTTCCAACGTGTATTTCCAGTTGGGGAGTAAACTACATCCGCAATTCCGGCCGATCTGATAAGGTCACGGGATGATATGGTTTAGTAACGTATGTGCAAGTTGCACACTTTCTGTATTGTTGCAGTATTGCGGCGGCTATGGCTGCATTTAGGTGAGAAGTCTATGTTCAATACGGTCACACTAAGCGCCGTACCTTCTTTTCTGTCTCGACAGCGAGTCAGTTAGCTTATTTCCAGGAGATAGTGGGTACTAGAGTGTCAATTGTGAGTCTTTCCAGACCTTTAACTACGAAGCAAATAGGAGTATAGATTTATACCTCAACATGTTACTTTTAATTTGATATATAGTATGTACGAAGTAGACTATACTTCAAATGTCTGGCCTACTTGGGACTCGCTTCGGGCGGCAAAGCGGGCACGTCCATTGGGCGGTGGTGGTTCTCCGGACCCGGAACAGCCGAGCGTGACCCGGAGGAACCTTACCTAAGAAAGACTAACGAACTCGAACCTGAACTGAACGGACCTTCAACTGTCACTTCATCTCGCTCTCCTCCTCCTTCAGCCTCAGCTTCTGCTCCTCCTCCCCTCTTCCCTTGTCGTCCCTTTATCGTCTCGCCTTTCATCCATCGTCCGCCCCGGATTGTCGTCCACGCGCAATTATCCCCATTCAACATCCTTTCCCCCATTTTTTTCTACTGTTTTCCCCTTTCCGACCACGTTGCCGCGCCGAGTCCTCAGGGGCGCGCTGTGATGCGGCTGCGGTGATCGATTTCCTCACACCAGTCTCTGTCGCCTAACAGCGACTCCCGTCGCCCATATCTTCTTTTTTTTTTTCCCCGGAGTCGCGGATTACTCTTGCCGTTGAACTACTTATCCCTTCGGCGTCGACCACCAACCATTCCCCCCCCACCACAACCACTGACTTTCCGCCTAAGCGACTTTCGTTCCTACGTCTCGTTGTTCGGATTGTCCACCCCTCTATTGTTGCCCAAGCGAACACGGGATATTAACAACACAAATATTTCGCGCTATGTATAATACTCATCGCGGAATGGTTCCGGCTCCCAACTCCCGTCTGACGGAGTTGTTGGACCAACTGCGCCAGGAATTCGAGAATCAGTCTCGAAGCACTGGCGAGTTTGAACATCAGCGTATGTTTTGTTATTTCCTTGGTCCTCTGTGCTATTTGGATTGGCTTTGCGACGAGAACTTTGCTTGTCACGGCGCGTTTCCGTCGGGTTTCACCTTGTGGCGCAGGTCAGCGGCGTACGGGTGAATTCCGGAGTTTTAATGCAATGGAGAGCATCTTGTGTCGCCCAGAGTTATTATTATTATTGTCATTTCCCCCTTTGGTGTAAACTGCTGACGCTTGGTTTCTACCACCCCTAGTAACCGGACAGCTTCAAGAGATGGAGATGATCCGCCAGAAGGTCTATCAACTGGAACAGGCACAACTTAAGATGAAACAAGAGTACGTTACTTGGGCGGCTCATCTTACCCAATAGCTGTACTAACGCCTTATCCATCACTGTAGTTACGAAGCAGAGATTCGGGTGCTGCGACACGAGCTTGAATCGCGTGGTGTTCAGCCCGTGTCATCTCACATTGCCGGCCCGGCCCAGCACGCTGGACCTTCTCAGGCCCCGCCACCGGCCCTGGGTCACGGCCCTAGCAATCTGTTTGGTGGCATCATGACCAACCAAGGAGGTAGTGGCCCCGGTCTTCCAGTTGCCCCTCCCCCTCCCCAGGATCAGCAGCCTCCCCAGCATACCCTTCAACAGCCTGCTGCCGCGGCCCAGCAAGGAGCGCCGCAACCACCGCAGAGCTCTTTTGGAGGATATCAGCCTGGTGCTGCTGTGAACGGTATGTTATGACTATGTTTGAAAGACAGATTGCCTGACCTCTGACCTTGTGATCGCCTCGATCTCTAAACAGGTTATGGACCTCCCCCTCCTCCTGCTGCCTCACCCGGCCCTGGCAAGCGGCCCCGTGCTCCTCCCGGTCCGGCCACTCCTCAACAGACCCACCAGCTGGCCTACACATCCGATCCCCGCGTCTCCTCGCCGCAATTGGCCCGCCCCACGCCTCCTAGCCAGGCTCTCGTGCGAGATCGTCCGGGAAACATGCTGGCCAATTGGAATCCTGACGATCTGCCGGCGTCACAGAAGCGAGAGGGTGCCGATTGGTACGCCGTGTTCAATCCCGAGGTGCAGCGCGTGCTGGATGTGGAACTTGTTCATCACCTTGTCCACGACAGCGTTGTGTGCTGTGTTCGTTTCAGCCGTGATGGCAAGTACCTTGCGACCGGCTGCAATCGCTCTGCGCAGATCTTCGATGTGACCACTGGTCAGAACGTTGCGACGTTGCAGGATGAGAATGTGGACAAGAACGGCGACCTTTACATCCGCAGCGTCTGCTTCAGCCCTGATGGCAAGTATCTTGCGACTGGCGCAGAAGACAAGCAGATTCGGGTACGTGGTCCCTGCTTTAACATCACTAGTATTATTGATGGCCGCTTTGGTGCGCTGTTATTCGAATGATTTCGAAGCTAACCCTTTTTTTCCTCTTTTCTTACCGTTAGGTTTGGGACATCAATGCCCGGACGATCAAGCATATCTTTACCGGTCACGAGCAGGATATCTACTCTCTTGACTTCGCTGGCAATGGTCGGTACATTGCGTCCGGCAGTGGAGACAAGACTGTTCGCCTTTGGGATATCCTGGATGGCAAGTTGGTCTACACCCTGAGCATCGAAGACGGTGTGACCACCGTGGCTATGTCCCCAGATGGTCACTACGTCGCCGCAGGCTCTCTCGATAAGAGTGTGCGTGTTTGGGATACCACTACCGGCTACCTTGTGGAACGGTTGGAGAGCCCCGATGGACACAAGGACAGCGTGTACTCGGTTGCCTTCGCCCCCAACGGCCGCGACCTTGTCAGTGGTAGTCTGGACAAGACCATCAAACTTTGGGAGCTCAACGTGCCCCGTGGCGCCTACCCCGGAAGCGGAGTTAAGGGTGGTAAATGCGTCCGCACTTTTGAAGGTCACAAGGTAAATACATACTATCCGTTAGCAAAAGGCCAATACTCGTTTCGTGGTTGCTGACCTCATGGATTAGGACTTTGTGCTCAGCGTCTGCCTGACTCCCGACGGACATTGGGTCATGAGTGGTTCTAAAGACCGCGGCGTTCAATTCTGGGACCCCATCACCGGAAATGCGCAGATGATGCTCCAGGGGCACAAGAACTCAGGTGCGTACCTAAAACCTCCGAGCACTGTCTCTTGCCAGGTGATCTTGGCTTTTGCTAACTCAGCAACAGTCATCTCCGTGGCGCCCAGCCCTACTAATAACCTGTTCGCCACTGGTAGTGGTGACATGCGGGCAAGAATCTGGAGGTACGTTCCTACTGGCCTACAAGGCGTTCATCGTCCTGGTGGCTTTCTGTTTTCTTCTCCTCTATCATGAACATTGTTGACAAGGTCGCTCCGAACAGATACTCTACCTACACTGGACGGTGATGAGAATGATTTGGGAAAGCTTTGGCGCAATTATGGAATTATGTTTCTTCTTTTCGAATCACCCGTTTTCGATTTTGTCTGCGTGCCGCGTCTTGTTCGACGTCACTACCGGGATTTGCGTTGCAAAAGGCCAATTGCTTTATTGTCACAACTCCATGCACGGGGAAGTGACCCTGGGGTTTTTTTTCTTTTCCAAAGGAGACGAAATGCTATAAGCGAAGCGAAACAAAAAAAGAGGAAGAGAACGAAGCACGATAAAAAGGCTGTACTGGTAGTAATTTCGCGCTGATTACGTGGTTGTGAATTTATTCTGAGGAAGCTGAATGCAATTGTCACGAGAGCAGTGTGATGATCGGTAGGGGTGCAGGCGCTTCCTTAGCGGTTGCCATCGCGCAGAGATGACGACAATCCAGAAGGCTTGTTGACTGCGGCATATTGTAGTCAGCTGAAAGACTAGTCACCCTCCCCGTTCTTCAGTTGACTTCATAGTCCGTACGATTGACCGGCGACAACAAAGTAGATATCGGAGAGCACAGGGATGTGCTCCGCTGGTTACCTATCTCCATAAGACCACCCTTCAATCGGGATATCCGCAGTCCCCGTGACGGGCACCTGCACGTTGCGGGGGGGTTGAGTTCAGTAGTCGGCACTACTATTCGGTCACCGTGCGTATGAATGCATACCCATAGATCTATGCTTGTATTGGGCATCCACAAAAAAAGGGCCGGCAGCGCCGTCACTAAGGGGCATAGGCTGCCATACGATCTCTCGGGGTTGAACTAGCATCGGTAGTAGATGCAGGTTGTTGAGTTGGTCACGGACCTATGTCCTCGCATTATGAATGACTGCAGTAGCGGCGTACATCGCATTGGACATACATATTGAGAATATATAAACTCCGTGGTCCGTAGGGAATCCACTCGGTGATCTATGGGTCTAAAGCGAGATCGATACCTGCCTAGTTGGCCAGGTCCTCGGACTTTTCCGGGAAGGCTAAACACAGCAGGTGCACCGGACTTCAAGGCATTGGCGTAGCCGCCGCCACTAAAGGGAAATCATAGGCTTCCGTCATGAGCTAAATGGAGTTCAGTGTTGAAATGTGGCAAGGATCTCTGGGTCTGTGTCAACCACAAAGACATAACTATGGAATTCAATTGGCAAACATCAAGACGGTCAGATCAGCACAGAAAAACTCTTGTACATACTGCATTGTGAATAGTAACAGCTTGTAATTGTTCCGATCAAAATAGTGCATCGCCATGGTCATGCTCTGCCTGTGTATCTCGTCGTCTTGTGCGCATACGGCACAAATCCCTTAGAGGCAGTAAGTACGAGGTGTGGACTCGGCATGGCTTCAGTGGTTTAAGGGCAAGCAAGACAGGTAGATCCCGGACAGTATTCGGTAAAAGTCACGATCAACCAGGGCTGTACTCCATCGTCCTCAGTGTAGGAGTACGTAGTTGGTTGGAAAACAAGTGGGGGGAGGAGCTCTGGATGGTCTGCCTGCGGATGACGATCCTCCAACTATATGGATCCTCCCTGTGGGCTTTTTCTGAGACTGCTCCCACTCGCAGCGTCCGTCGAAATTGACATAAACGAGGCTCGGTAAGGGCCCGCGGGAAAAGGCCACTCATTGCGTAGGCTATGCCCGCGGTGTGATGGGAACAGACATGCTGCATTGGCATGAGACAACCCAGCAGGTGAGATTAGTTATAGGTTAGTAATTGCGAGGGCACAGACATAACTAGCTACTACTAGTCACTTAGTAGTGATACCTACTGTGGATTAGTTAGTAGATTAGTTAATAGTCATTTAACAAGTGACTAAAAGTAGAGAATTAATGTGTCGATTCCGGGGATCCATCGCACCTGCTCCACTGCCCCGTTAGGTGCTCCGTTCCTGATTTTCCAGTCCATGCGGTGTGGCCGATGGTTCCTTCCTTCCTCGGGGATAATGTCACGTAACCCTAGTGGTAAAGTAAGTAAGTAAGCTCGTATTTACAAACAGACCAAGTTGTGATTTTTCCCCCTCTAAAGTCGGTAATAGTATCTAGTCAATTGCCTCTTAACACAGCAAACTGAAGTATGTGAACAAAATAGCACCCACCCCCATGCAATTGGATAAGTCTATATTGAGCCAAGGCCTTCATATATGTATCTTTCTCTCCCTCTCTCTCTTATCTCTATTCAATCATTCACTCTTTTAATTTGAAACATAGTAATGAAAAAGAAAAGCCGAAGCGTGTGTGAACAAGTAATTTTAAAAAGAGCACCCTCCGTAAGTCATATCAAGTCAAAACCATGGTCACAAATGTGACATTATCAGGTACCGTCGCGATACGAATCGAACCGACTTTCAATCGGCTTTTGTTCGTCACAGACCCGGGCAGTGCTAGCCGGCACTATTGATCGGACGCGATTTTCTCTCCTGCATCTTCTGACAAGCAGCCCCCTGCGATCACGAGGTGGTGAAGAGGGTGGTGCATTGGGCAGTCGACCTACATCATGCCTTACGTGCTGCTGCGAGCAGGCACCAGCCGGCGCCTATATCGCCGTGGGGTGTCAAATCTGACTTTTGCTCCCAGGCTCTCCTTTCCCTCATTTCTTTTTCCCGAGCAGGAGCCGTGATGATCGACTGGTGGATCTCGCTCGGGAAGAAGGGGAGGAAAAAAGGTGGAACAGGGTTGGTGTGGCTTGGCGGAATTTCAACCTGTACGAGTTTCTTGTGCATCCTCGATAAGAAGTACACATTGGGATTATGAGAATCAAGTAATAAATCATTTAATGATTTTGTTTATTGTGGAATCCGCGGTCACGCAGTACAGTTAGCACCAATGTCTTCTCCTGACTTTTCTCTTGGAACCGAAATTGATTAACAGTTGGGCACTCAGCATCTCCTCAATGATATGAGCGTTGCTAGAATTGATCTGATCATTACGGGATAGCAAATCCTGGAATATGGAAAACTCGTTGCTGTGCATGATGAGAAAAGTGGATCAAGCAGACAGACACTGAGGCTGTCTTTAGAAGCTGCTGAATCCCATGAGAGGATTGAATGCCGATGTAACAGGGTGGATCATCACGACTAAACTTACTTGTGCATGCCTGCCTAGTATCTAGGTAACTAAACTAGTCCTCACGAATCCGGAGAAGGTCAGGTTTGGCTAGCTCTAGACTGGCCTGAGCTAAGCTGCTGTGTTTAGTGTTGACACATAATTAATCTGTATCATCATGGTACATACATGCAGACTGTGCATGAACCATACTTGATGAGTTCGGGTCTTCACGAAAATGGACATCTAAAGAGTAGAGAGTAATATGAGTAAGTACCTAGTATCTATATAATTACTGCCTGCCCGTAACAGAAACAACGAACCCCGAACATATGCTGATCACCAGGAAGAAGACCATGAATAAGTAAATCTTCAACATGCAAAGACACATACAGGTAAAACCGACTAATGGTGGTTCCTATGATGTCACCGATTATCTCACTTTCACACTGCGTGAAACCGCAAATGTGATACATCTCACGACTGTCAGCTTTCGCATCTCCTTAGATCCCATGTTTGAGATTCGATCGTTGTGGATCAGCTGCCGTCGCCTATGGATGTGCGAGTCACCACTCCCTTCACCCGATCCAAACACGCGAGGGATAGTATTTTTCTTTTTCTTCCGTTTGTAATATTTTATAGTTTCAAATTTTTAGTCCTTAGTTATCATTCATATTTATAGACACTTTTTTTTTTTTTTTTCTTTTTCCCTTGGGGTAGAAAAAAAGATTGTAGTTCTGATATCCACAAATATGTCTGCTTATGTAGGTATGTCTGTCTGTCTGGCTGGCTGGCTGGTACCTACAGCCCGTGCAGTAAGGTTACTGTATGTAAGAGTAGTAGGTTTGAACTTTGCCGCAGTCTAATCCAATAGATCCTCACTAGGGGAATCCTTGGCCCTCGGGCCCACAATGTCGGGAACGCAGTGGTCGCTGTCCACGATCGATGAGGCCGGGAATAGGAGTTTTACTTATTATATGGTATGGAGTAGTTGGTTTGTATGGCTCTTTGGCCCCAGCATCCCCTCGATGTGGAGAAGCACGGTTCAGCTGGAGCACGGAGTGATTTCTCAGAGGCCTCACCTATCTCAAGACCCTATTGAGTTGGGATCAGTAACCAAGTCAAAAATTTTGCCCTCATAGAATTAGCGTGACCTAAAGAGGTTGGGCGATGGGATGGAACTGTCCGTCACCTGTAAGTGTAAGATCCACGGGTCATGGCTGAGTTTGAGCGGTTCCGAGATGAAGGCCCGGCCCGTCACAGCAACGGACAGGTAAGGATAAGGAAATAGTCTCGCCTTCAGAGTACATTCAGTTCTTCATTCATCATAGTCATATGTATCTTATTCTTAGCCCACAATTTTTCCTTTACCCCTTTGTTTGAACTTGAATTCATAATCTTTTTCAGATAATTCATCTTCATCCCTTTCATCTCGCGTATAGTTATACATCAAGTCAGTGTAATCCTTCCGTAAGGAAAGAAAAGAAAAATTCCTTGTTCAGCAGCTCTAGACCCGATTGATTGATCGTTCAATGACAGCAGGGCGTGCTCCATCAGACCTGAGCAGTGAAACTTCAGTGTCCAGTCATGCGAGAGGATCCAATGTTACACAGAATCAAGGAAAAACGCAGAGAGTGCAATGAGTGATCGGAAACAGTCTGTCAACCTCGGACTTTGGGGACGACATTTGCATTTTGAAAGTATTAGAATACAATCTCGTAATAAATACAGAAAGCACTGACCAAGTTAATTGATACGTCAGGCACTACAGTCTGCACTACCTTAGTGTAGTTAGTTACCTGCCTAGTACCCACATTAGCATGTTCCCTATTTTTCTAACCTTACTCGCCCCTATACTTCTAAGTTTGCCTGAACCGAAACGAGGAAAGCGAGGTAGATCTAAGAGAGAAAGGAAGATACCAAACAGAAAGAAAAGGCTAGAGCTATGGCCAACATTTCTGTGGTCAGCGACTGTGTGAGTCTAATACAATATCGGTACCTAAAGTTACTGTTCTTGTCAGCCATCCATCCATCAGCACCAGCGCGCAACAGAGTCTTGCATGTTTCGACCTGGAGGTGAACCCACTTTTTCAGGGGTAAAAGCATACAGAAGTACATGGTATTTCATAAAGGAATTCAGAGGATGCAGCATTCGGTGCTAAGAAAAGAGTCAGAGTGGGGTGGGTCATGGATGGGGGGAAAGACAACTGGACCTCATTGGTGTCTACCTTTTTGATAAGACAGGAAGAGGTCCTGCTGGACTGGCCAAGATGTGTTTTGAGCCCATCAACCATTGAGATCTTTTACGTTCCCGATGATATTTTACTCCGGATAATACCCATCAGTTGGAATTCTTGTAAGGTTCTTAGCCTTCATCCTGACCAACTAACAACCAGTAATACTAGGTTACCGGGCCAATCTATCAGCACGGTAGGACGAGCGGGGGATGTGTTGGGATTTCCAAGTCGCCAGACGCGGCTGTTGCAAGAGTGAGGCACATCCACGCCAAGGAGAGGAGGGCGACAGTGGGGAGCTTGACAGCAAATGAGCGGCTGGCGATTGCTACACTATTGATCGCCCGCGAGCGGTCCGTTGTGTAGCTCTGCCGGGCGAACCCTGTCATGCTTTCCCTCGCCTGACCAGAAGTACTGAGGTATTATCATGTCACGTCTCCCTTCCCGCAGATATAGCCCTTTTGAAATTTAGATTACTATTTTTTTTTTCTTTTTTCTTATTTCAATGCTTTTGTCTTGTCTTTTTAAAGACCAATGTAGTAAAAAGTCGAATAACTTCATTCATTTCCACCATCACATTGAATCTCACACCTTATTAACGGAAAGGTTTATTGAAGACAATGTGATCAAGTAGGTAAGATCAATGGCATAAGGTACAACTAGTTGTTATTTACTTGCCGCTAAGGCAGGTAGATGTGTGTGTGCCACATTCTACTGTCAATGGAGGACGATTCAGCTCAGCCAGTTCCTCCGATACATAATAATAGTACATACTTACTAGTACCTACTTACTCTCTCTCCTACCTAAGCCCGTCATCGGAGTTCTCGGGCGCCCCGGCAGCGAACCAGCATCCAGAATAAAAATTACCGCCCGCTCCTGCAACCGAATAGCGATATCAGTGGGATGGGTTTTTCCATGCCTCACAGCCGCGGAAATCCCACGGCGCGTATAACCAAACGACCGACAGCCGTACTATCATCCCCTTAAGCACCCCTTGGTTTTGATGCAGGGTACTGGGATCATGTAGTTCGTACATAGGCAACCCCAAATCCTTTGCTCTATTAAGCTTGGATGCCGGGAATAAGTTTTGAGGGAGCCTTAGGGCCGGTTAGTGGCTCTCTCTGCTCACGGATCCATGGGCGAACCCCCATGGGCAACGAGGTCCAGTCGTAAAGATCTACATCCATCCAGGTGACGATGAAGATCCTTCGACCGGCAAGGTTGTCCGGTATGAAACCGCCTCCTATTTGCTGAAATGAATCCCAACAGCTCAGGTGCCTGCGTGGATGACGAGGGTATCCTGGTTGTTTCACTAGCAGCTAGTAAGTAGCTGGCTGACAACCAGAAATGATACGAGAATGGTAATGGAGCTGTGTCGAGCAGCATTAGTTCCCCGAGTAAGAGCGATGTACGGCACTATTCTCTCCCCTCCCTTTCCTACCATAATCTGCCAGAGACGACATCTAGTAGCTGATCAACGAGTTCGGACATGGGGAATACTAGTCAGGTACTACATCAGCTCTATCTAACAGGTGTCAGAAGAAAAGCGCCTACTCCACTCGCTCTTTGAATTAGTCGAGGTCAATGCCCTTGGCCCAACCTCCTGGGTCAGATGATATGACTACTCGTGGTTTGTGGGATGTCGATTACGAGTTCGCATTCTATGATTATGGTAGCCTGGGCTTCTGCCCGTTCTTCTCTCCTATCTAGAAGATGGTGGCGGCATTGCCAGCTCTACTTATGGTTGCCTCGTCATGCTTATCCGCTCTGATGCTGATTACTACTAATTAGGGATACCGAAACTCTCAATCATACCAGTTGAATCTGATGTCTTAGTAGTGTGTAAATATGGGAGTTTACCCCGGTAGACTAGTTATATGCGTACTGTGACAGGGGAGCTGAATAGTAGTAAGGAGGCGCCACTCGTTTCTATTATGCGTGTATAGAATAATAGATATATGAAGGGTTTCATCATACCTTAGGTAGACTGAGTCGGCAGCACAAAGTGCATTAGTCCTGATTACTACGGGCGATCAATACCTAGTACACAGTAGGTATTTTCTTCGTACCATCCATGTGGTGCGTGACTGTCAGCCCGATCGGAAGGTGTTTAAGCCTTCCGCGATTGGACTGTAAGGGCCACCCCAAAAACCGAGTGGACCCCGATCCCCCCGGGAGAGCATCCATGGATCCCCATCTAAATCGGTGCTCTCGCGGGAAAAAAATATTAAATTAAAATAAAATAAAAATGAGTATCTTTTTTTTATGGACCTCCTCGTATTATGGGAAGAGGCGGAGTATGATTGTCGACGGAACTAGTAATTTATCGCCCCATTCTCCGCTTAGAAGAAAAGGGACCAGATGGAACTTCGTGGGATTCAAGTAAGATGTGTCAGCCTTCTCTGGTGGCTTGGGTGTTCGGGACTGCAGTGTACATGGATGGGGCAACCGCGATTCAGAATAATTGCATTCAGCTCCGTCAATCAATCACAAAATGCATGACGAGACGAGTGGAAAATAACCTATTGTGACCTTTGCGGCTTGCACCTAAATTTTGGTGACTGGATGGAGGTTTTGTTTTGGAAACTAGACATACTACTGATGGGAGCGGTCTTACCATGAGCATTTTGCAAAAGAGAGAGAGAGAGAGAGAGAATAATTCCCGAAGACTATTATTCTAACTCCGATGTATTTCTCATATCCAAATGGTATCGTCATTAGCCTGTCATTCATTCAGCCATTCATCATTTGCCTCCCCCTTTTTTTTTCCCCGAGAGGCTTCGTATTGAGATCCAATACATCCATGACAAGTGCTGTCGTACATCCATACATCCAATACGTAATTGTTTAAATACAACTCCATACATTCATAACAATGATACATAGTCATACATGCCTATCCACACCCACCCCCCCAATTCAAGAAAAGAAACCACCCCCATACCTCAGCTGCCTGTTACTTTTCCTATTCTGGTGCGTACAAGCCTTCAGCTTGCTTAGCACCAACTAAACTAGCAGGCCAGATCCCTGTCACTGGCCACCCCGCTGCTTCCACTGCTCTGGGACACCGAAAAAGGGAGGGTGGATGAATTGCTAGCGATGTATATCTAGTAGTAGTTTAGTTCTAGATCACCGACCTCAATCTTTCCGGAGGGTCCAAGGAAACTAACCAATGCAAATTAGTATATTTATTATTTTTGTTATTCGTGTTGTTTTCTTCCCTACTCTTCTTCTTTCTTATTTCATATTTCTTTTCTCTTCTCCCGATTCAACAAATAAACTAAAGAGCAATTAATTAGAAAGGAACCAAGACGGCCCGAACAAAATAAGGGAAATACACACAGAGAGAGGAAAAGACAAGGGGGACAGAAAAAAAAAAAAAGGGAAATTAATGAAAAAGCCGAATAAACCTTACCCAAGAAGACAGGCTGAAGAATCAAGCCATATATTTGCTTATTGGTGATCCCCCATTGTCAAAATCAATGTCATAGCCCACCTCGTTGCGACTGCCGGCTACAATCCATTGTCCCTCTCTCCACTCTTCTTTCTTGCCCTACTCAAGAGCTTATATACATCTGGAGCCACTCTGGTCGGTTCTTCCTTCAGGGACACGCTCAGCTTGTGGGGAACTCAAATTCCATTGCTGATGCTGATGTTTGCTTTTTGAGATCTTGATCTTGATCTTGACTTGATACCCTATATATTTTATTTGCTTGTTCCCGACCTGTTTGCTTCTTCACTTCATCATAACCTTCCCTTGTTTTGTGTCATTATCAACAAGCAGTCGAGGCTCTGTCTTTCGAAGAAAGTGGGTGAGTGACAAGTCTTCCAACTCAATACGACTTACCCCGCGAGGATAGCTTCAAATATTGTAGATGGGTTACTGAGACGTGATAGCAGGCAGTATCCTGTTCTTCTCATCGGTCCATCTTGCTGTCTCTGTTTCCTCGCTCATCCTGCTCTCCAACCGCTTGCAATCAGCTCAGCAGGAGATAAAGGCGCCTTGAGGCCCTGTGGTGGAGAGAACGCAAAGTCCAGCAACCCTATTATCGCCATTTTGTCGAGATGGAAACTGCAGAACCAGTGTCATACGAATTTCCCGGTCATGCCGTTGGGGCGGTTGCGCCTCGTCGAATGATGGGCTCGAATGTCGGCCACAACTTTCCCTTCTATACCAATCCGACTGGTGGCTATACACTTCCATTCCACCAATCTTCGTCCCCTGCGTATAGCTTCGGACACACACTCAACCACCACCATCATCACCACCACCATCATCCGGGCTACCAGCATTATTTCGTCGCCGGCCAGCAACCGATCAACCCCCAGCCGGTCCGTCTATCCTCTGAGCCACCATCCATCCAGCAAATTCCCGATATTCGGCCGGCCAAAAATGCCGTTAACCGGGTAGCCAGGGATCCTTTAATGAAGATCGAGCACAACGGGGGCTCACAACAACCTCCCGGAGCCCAGTCCTCGAGTAACGAAGGAGGTGCACAGGGGAAGAGCTCCAGCTCCAACGAGGTTGAGTTCTCCACGGAAGTAGATATCTTGATGAAGGCAATTCAGGCCAAAGCCAGTGCTCAGTCACCAGGAGTGCAGTCTCTGCCACCACTGCAACAGTTGACACACGGGGGAAGCACCGGATACCCTCAGAGTTATACGATGCCAGTGACGACCCCAAGGTGCACTGTTGTGGTCGAAGAGGCTCCATCGAGATCAGGCAAAAAGCGCAAGTATGCATGCACTTTACCACAGTGCGGCAAGAGCTTCGCGCAGAAGACGCACCTGGATATTCATATGCGGGCTCACACGGGGGACAAGCCCTTTGTAGGTGGCATGAGAATCGAGAATCTTTAAAATATGACACTAATATTTTACGAAAAGGTGTGCAGAGAGCCCTCATGTGGACAGCGCTTCTCTCAGTTGGGTAATCTGAAGGTAAGTCATGGGATGTTCCCCAAGATAGTTTCCTATAAAGGGAGCTTCAACACCATCGAATATATTGCAGATTTTCTAACGGAAACAATTGGTAATTAGACTCATCAACGACGCCATACTGGGGAAAAGCCATTTTCCTGTGATATATGTCAGAAACGATTCGCTCAACGAGGCAACGTTCGTGCTCATAAGATCACACATCAACATGCCAAACCATTCACTTGTCTCCTGGATGACTGCGGAAAGCAATTTACCCAGCTTGGAAACCTCAAGGTGCGGAGACCAATAATCTTCAACCCTGAAACACCTTCAATAGTAGCTGACTAGTATAACAGTCACACCAGAACAAGTTCCATGCCACAACCCTACGAAATCTTACTTTAAAATTCTCACAAGTGACAGAGGGAGATCACATGAGCCCACAAGACAGGAAGCTCTGGGAATACTTTGCTACATTGTACAAGAACAGCAACAAAGGAATCAAGGGGCGCGGGAAAGATCGCAGGATCTCGCCTACTTCACGGTCTGATCCGGGCTCCGACTCCCGCAGAAGGATCCAGCCTCTCAGCAGCAATGATGACAAGATGCGCCGAGCAAGCTATGAAGATACATCTATGTATAACGGGGGTTCTAGCAGCGATGATGACGACGCAGAACCTTATTATATTGAGAGGCAGGCTCATTGACATACCATACCGGCTTTCTCCACGTTTTTAGAATCTTGTCGCATCATTTACATTGCCCTCATTTGTTACTACGATACCAGTCTCGTTCGTGTTTATTTCGTTTTGCCTCATATAACCCGCATATCATGTTGAATATGATGTTCGCCTGGTATATGGCTTTCCCAGACGTTTCGTTCGGCCTGAAGACTCTTCTTATGTACATCAGCGTGGTTTCCCCTTTTCTTTTCTTTCTTTTCTGGACATATATACCTGTGGCGGGTAAAGCCCGTTTAGTACGTTCTGGTTCTCAACATGTTGATATATATGATTATATTACAACCCCTACAACTCCAAATATAATACATGCCAATTTCTGGCAAATAGACATTATTGATTGCAGGCGACAGGAGCCTTAACGCATATATATATACAAAGATCATATAAGGTACAAGGTACAACCTGCACACGAGCCGGCGGATGCGAGATCTGAGCAGCTGTGACATATGTCCGATAGGTAGACGTAGTTGCCTCCGCTTTCCGCGCGGATAAGGCAACAAATTCCTCTCTATCAAAGGTTGGATAATAACCCTGGTAGGTACGCTCTGGTATTTTCATACACCAGGAAAGTGACCCACGTACTGGGCAGCACGCGCAGCAAATTGGGGCCAAGGCCCTTGTAGAAGCCAGTGATACCTTCTCTGGCCCAAATCTGAGCAACGGCATCCCTGACGCCCGAATACACGAGGTGAGCATCGTATGTCTGCAAGCGAGACCGCAACACCTGATACGGATAGGTAACACACCCGGCGAACAGTTTCGACAAGCTGGAGATCACGAATAAGTCTACATTCCCCAGCTCCCGTATCCCCGACCGGGCCGCGTCCGATGACAGCGACGACACATGACTCGAACCAGCATCTCGTTGAAGGCCAGTTGTTCCGGCCGGAGGAGCCATGCGGGAGCGATACAATTTCAATTGCTCGTACGCCATGAATTGAAGTGCGCCATGGCTGACTCCAAACAGAGCTGGAACCAGGCCCCGATAGAAGCCCGCAATACCCTCCGAGCGAAGAATCTCCTTCGCTCCCGTTGTAAACGACGCGTATGCTCCGGGGCTCTGGGATCCTGTTGATAGCATGCGGGTTTTTATCACCCAGATCGGATTGGTTAGCGCGGACGTCAACATCCCTGTGAGAATCATAATTCCGCAAATTAGCCTCATCTGCCGTTTCAGAACTGCCTGATCGGTGCTTTCCTGGGGGTAAAAAAACATCGCAGGTCTGTTTCCTTTTTGCTTCTGGAGCGTACCTGCAGATCCTGAGGCTAGGAAGTAGTCGGCCGAGGTGAGGGCCTGGTCTTCAGAACCACTGCGCCAGGTGCGCATTACATCCTTGATGTTGCCGTAGCACAAGAAGTACAGCGCCCAACTTGTGGAATTCCCAACTATGTTGGGTGTCAGACCTCTGTAGAAGGCTTTGATGCCGCCCTCATTCTGGAAGATCTCGCGGATTACTGGGACTGAACCGCCGACACGCGAAGAGGATAATCGGTCGACTAGAAGATATAGCAGATTGATACTACGTCAGCCATAGCTTCAATACTGATTTGACATTCGTGATTGATTCGCGCTCCACGTCTTGTCTTTTTTCCCGGAGAGATGAACCACTAACCTTGAAGCCGAGTCTTGAGCAGATCTAGCGGATGCAGGCAGAGCGTCGAAGCGATTCCGGCCGTGAATCCCGCTACGGTCTCCACAAAGGACGAGGACAAGCCATCCTTGCCAGTCATTAACCCTTCAAGTCCTCCTGGAATGTGCCGCTTGCAGGGGTTTGAGATTCTAGCCGGGAGTGTCGGGAGGATTGAAGAAGTCCGGATTCGGTCCGGAATTCTTTTGGCCAAAGATTTGAGCTGGACATTGCGCTTGGCGGGCCGAAGCGCCCCAAATGTCCGAGGGAAACAACCGGATACTTCTGAAGAAGACATTTCCTACGACTATCACTACAAGAAACAAGATCATATATATCCTAGTCTTTGGATCTGGAGTCTGCTTCAGAGTGCATCAGTTGAGCTTACGCAAGTCTTTATAAATGTAGTGTTCCGAAAACCCTTTGCATGTATCCTCGGTCCTGCCCTGGACCTGTATATGAAATTAAAACATTCGCGTTAACCAATACAAAGCATGAAAACTGATCGTAGTTTAAAAGTACATGTGCATCGATGTAGACTTCAAGTTGTCAACATCGACCCGAGGGGTTGAGGTGGAAGAGGTTTCTCAGAATCTGCTAGTATCCCGACAGGCAGTCTTTTTTGTCTGTCTAATTGCAGAGTGAGACTTCAGGCGTTGCATGTGTCTGGTGGATGGACATTCATCGTTTCCGTATTCTGAAGCAACTCATTCCTCTAGGCGAGAGGCGAGAACAGCCTATATGTAGCGTTAGTGGGTTGGAATCGTCGGGGAGCGTCGGTAGGGCGCAGTCGCTCATACTTGAACAGAGAAGGCTTGGGTTCACTGTAAGTGTAACCTATTCCATAATCGTTAGCAACGAAACTTCCATCATAAAGGCCCCGGACAGGTCCATAGAATAATTATTCCATCACACGTACCGAGATAGACAATCAACGGCAGGTATCCACTTATGCAAACATAACCGTCAGCTTTGGTCAGGACACATTGGTCGAAAGGATCAAGATGCGACGAACTAGTGAATGGCAACTCTGGAGACGTCAATGACCTTGGAGATACGCTCCTAGATGAAAGGCATATCCGTTAGCATACCGAGATCAAGCGTGACTAGTTATGTAGGACGTGCAACAGAGCACCGCAGACTAACCTTGGTTTCCTCGGAGAACTGGACCATATTGCCGGCTTAAAATTGCACGAAAGCTGTGATAATAAACACGAGAATTTCCCTGCTGTTGATGTCCGTAAACTTGAGATTGGGAAAGGCGGAATGGTTGACGGAGTGACGGAGTGACGGGAAAGACGGGGGAGGTGAAGCTCAAAGTTTTCCGGGGCTAAAGTTGGATCAGTAAAAGCTCCGCCGATAACCTGGAGTCCGAGTCTCCAGCGATCATCCTTCCAGCCCTTGTTCTCCCAGTACCTTCATTTGACCTCTCAACATATCCTGACTACCCAATTCTTTCTTATCAATTTATAGTCTCCTTCTAACTGATTCAAACGCCTACCCCATCTTTCTGTTCCTGTTCATTCGCTTTCATCCAGTCGAGGGGGCTCTTCAAGAGTAATACCTAGGCGCAATGTCCGGCGCAAGGCATTGGTAAGTGCTTCTCTTCACTCCATCTGGATACACATTCTCATAATGCCGGTACTTACAATTGGTGGAATAGGGAGCAAGACAAAGAGGCCACCGTCTACATCGGAAACCTCGATGAACGGGTCACAGATAGCCTGGTATGGGAGCTGATGCTGCAGGCCGGGCGCATCGTTAACGTTCACCTACCGAAAGATCGAGTCACACAGTCGCATCAAGGCTACGGATTCGTGGAATTCATCAGCGAGGAAGATGCTGAATACGCGTCGCGAATCATGAATGGAATCCGCTTGTATGGAAAGCCCATCCGCGTCAACAAAGCATCGGCCGACAAGCAAAAATCGGTGGAGATTGGAGCAGAGCTATTCGTCGGCAATCTTGATCCCATGGTTACGGAACAAGTTCTTTATGATACGTTCAGCCGCTTTGGAAACTTGGTCAATATTCCCAAGGTAGGATCTCTTCGTCCCTGCTATAGGAGTGCCATGCGGCACCGTGGCTTTCGAGTAATTTACTAACAATTGCTGCTACATAGATTGCGCGAGATGATAACAATCTGTCAAAGGGCTATGGATTTGTGTCTTTCGCCGACTTCGAGTCTTCAGACGCGGCCATAACCAACATGAACGGCCAATATCTTATGAACAAGCAGGTCTCCGTGCAATACGCCTATAAGAAGGATGGGAAAGGTGAACGCCACGGTGATGAAGCAGAACGAATGCTGGCAGCACAGGCTCGCAAACATAACGTGCGCCCGCCGACCCAGCCGCTACCTCCTCAGTTCTCCAACCCAGGGACACCTATGGTGCCTGCTGCGATGGCCAATGGTGACAGCTCTCGGCCAATGAGTACTAATCCACCGGACCTTAATATGGGCAGAGGCATGGCTCCTCCGAATGTACCGTTCCAAAACGTACCTCCTCCACAAGCAAGCCGACCTGTTCCACCTCCTGCTTCTCTGGCGAACCCACCCCCCGGTTTACCAGCACGGCCGCCGCCTTCTCAGGCCGGATATGGGGGGCCGCAGTCTTTCCTCCCACCGGGATTCAATGGTGCTGGTCAACAACCTCCCTTCCCTCAAGCAGCACCTCCGCCAGGCTTCGCTCCCCCAGGGTTCGGTTCACCGGCAGGAACTCCTGGTCCTCCACCTCCGTTGCCCCCGGGATTCCAGCAACCTGGCTATGGGCGCGGGCGCTGAGCATCCTAGGTCAACTACCTTGGCTTGAACCGAAGACGAGGTGGTACTTAAAACGAACAATTCCATCATTGTCAACCATTACTTGGATCGTCGGATGATAAATACTCGACTTGATGTAACGACCCACAACCGAGTAGCTGTTAATGCCCTACGGAAGAATACAAACCGCGCCCGATAATGAACGGCTCAAGATGCCTCAACTCACGGGATAAAATTGACATATCCGCTTGTTACACATGGCAAGATTGAAATGCCAATCAGCATTAACGTTCAAGAAGGAGGAATGTGTCTGAATAATCAAACCTGATGTCCACAGTTCTCGATATCTCATTTATGCTGAGTGGTAGCAATGAATACACAAATTGAAACACTACAGCATTTCAGATGCCCATGTATGGTAACTGAGAGTTAGTTGCCAGCAGTGATCCACGAAGTCATAAATTAGAGTTGACACAAGATATCAAGTCAATCTTCAAGCAGGGAGGCCAACACTAAATTTCGACGGCAATAGTAAACATACTCTACACGCTGCAAAGGAGTCTTGAAATCATTCAGTAAAGGGAAGGGTATAAGTAGAGGAGAGTCTGCCGGTGAGAAGCATATGTCGAAGGAAAACAGGAAGAAGAACGAGGGCAAAGTGAAACCAAGCGACTGTGATGCAAATGTCATCAAGAGAACGACACGAACTTTGGGTCCCTAGGTCGGCCATCGGGACCGATATTGTTCTTGGAAAAGCGCTGCTCCATGTAGATCCGGCGACCTTCGTTGAAATCCACTCTTCGCCGTTTCATGATCCGTAAGATTTCGCGTTTGGCCTGATCATCCAAGCCCGCCCTGGTGTCACCCTCGGCAACATTGGCGGAGATATCGAACTCGGATGAGACCAGACCAGCTTCCACATCGCCAGCAAACGTCGAGGGGAGGCGATCGTAAATGTAGTCGGGAACGGGCAGTAGATGTAGCCATCGGGACCGGGTGAGGTAGAGCGCTAAAGGCAGGTCAGGAAGGAAGGCTTGGATGACTTGCAAGATTGAGGAGCTGGAAGCTTTGCATACCTGTGCCACACACAACAACCGATATGGTGAGGAAGTAGAGAAGGTAGTAAGCCATGGTCAATGAGGGTTACCAGGCGCTGCTAAACCGCAGCGGGGATTAGGCTAGATAGGTAGATGAAAGCGTAGCGCGGCGGGGATTCGGGCTTCAATTCCCCTAAAGCGACAGGAATAAGACCATTCACAGGGGTAAGCGATATACAGTATTCGAGTCTGGCCGGCGTCTTGCCAGAGCCTGCTACTTAGGAGGCATTTAGACAACAATGATAGACAGTCGGGTCATACGTAAGTGTACGCATATGGAAGAGCGCGGAAGGTGTAAGTGGGTCAAGGGCGCGGACGCGGCTGGAACGACAGGCGGCGGCCCCCGTTCTCAGGCAGCACTCACGGGCATCTAACGAACCGCCTTGAAAATGGGTCTATTCCTAAAGCGGCCCGCTTAGCGAGGCTCTCAGCGTTGGAATTCTTGGCGCTGGCACACACAACTGAAACCTTCTAAGGGCTAGATATTAAGTCGTAGCTGGTATATACCGAACGGACTTGCGACGATTTGGAACTGTCCTCATCCCCCACCCAAGCTTCGAAAGAGACATTCACAATGGCCGCCAACGTTTCCAGCGACCTCATCTGGCAGCTCACCCGTACGTCACTAGCTCCTTCCTACGCATATTTTATCCCAATGGAAACCCTAGGAGCCGTTTCGCGCCTCGTCTTCTCCGGCTAATGTTACGACTACCTCAACAGGCACCCAGAATGCTTATCTGGTCAAGCGTAACAGCGGCGGTGGTTCTCAGTTCTCCCGTGACCCCCTGAACCTGCAGAACAAGCACTCTTTCAAGGTACGGACCCTGGACATAAGGTCTGGGTTATGTTTTCGTGCTAATGTCGAATCACCTGTTTAGTACGCCGGCTATGCCAACACCAAGGTACTTTACCCGCGCTTCATGTCATGAGGATTTTTTTCCGTTCGGGAGTGGATGTTTAACGCTGCAATAAACAGGCGGTTGGTGTCCAGGCCACCGAGAACGGCGGTGTTGCTGTCATCACCAAGAAGCCCAGCAACCCCCAGCAGCCTGCCAAGAACGTCGTTACCGTGACCTACGGCCCTAACGCCTCCACCCGCAAGTAAGTTGATATGAGCAGTTGGCGTGCTATGATGTCCGTAAGGGAGGCGCGACAGTTTGCTGATACTGCTCTCGCATAGGATCTACAAGGGTGTTGCCGACAAGACTGCCAAGAACGGTTACCGTGCTGATGTCCGTGAGGACGCCGTCGCCCGTGTCAGCGCCGTCCGTCGCTCCCAGAAGGCCAAGAAGGAGACTCCCGCCCAGAAGCCCCGTGGTGCTAAGGCCAGAAAGGCCGAGGAGAAGTCGGAGTAAATGCCAACTATCTCTTTTCCGGGAAGGGCCAGGAGGCATGATGTCATGAGAGCTGGTCGGAATGATCGACCAGAAAAGCGCCGTGCTGGCCAAGGGCGGTAACATCTATGTAATTTAGCAATACTGCTACCAGGGGGGCATTGTTCTCCGGCCAGGCCATTCAGAATGGAAACCAAAAAAAATCTTGGGAAATTCAACAACAACAAAATGAATGGGGAAATGGAAGAATTGCCATCTTCAATTTTGAACACAAGTGGTAACAATCGGACTGACGGGAAAACAATCAGCCTTCCGCTTGCAACTGCCTGTGATGTCCCCTGGCCATATTTTGGTAGGCTGTTTATTGCCGCCTGTCGGGCCGAAGTAGAATGTAGAACCGATGTCGTAAGCACGTATCTAACCGCAAAGTTACCGTGAGACAACTTTGATATCCGCCTTTTCCCGAAACCTTGATGGAATCCCCGGTCAAACCGGTATATTCCTTCGCATGTGGACTCTGGAACGAAGGAGTCGACGAGAATTGCCGGAATCTGGGGCGGCGTGTTATGGGGGAGGACTACATCCGAGGGATGAATCTGAACGACTCCAGAAGTGACTAAGCAACCGTGAACCGGAAGCAACAATCCGGCTCTCAAGGCAAAGATAGAATGTCCGGGACTACGGAGGAAAGATTTGGAACGTGTGCCTGATGACTTTTGTTCCACATGGGCCCGGGGAAGGTTTGTAATGGTAGTAATGAGGTGCTTTGGCCTTGATTAAGCACAAGTCAGCTTTGCGGGAACTACATGCTTGATGGTGAAGTATATCATGTACTGGATGGAGCATAATAAGGGGATGGGTTCCGTAGAAATGTATAACAAAATCCACTCGACTTGATGCCCGCTGGGGTGTATGTAACTATGTCGGGTGAGTTGCCGAGTTATACTTACTACTAAAGGCGACTGGATGTTTGGGGAACAATGCTATTGGGGAGGGGCCCGGGCACCCTTTGGGGGACACCCGCGGATGGGCTGGATCTCGGTCACTGGAGACATAGCCCAGTGGTCCAGTGGTCCAGTGGTCTAGTTAGCAAGACAGCTTCATTTGTTAACCCCACATGTGATCCTCCGTCCGGTTTCCGTAGTATATAATGGTCCTGGAGCTTCTCCCTCTGTCGATGCGAATTGAAAATTAATTTGCCCATCAACATATTGCTTATCTATCTATTCATTGTTTCTTGATCATTATCATCTCTCTCTCTCTCTCTTTCCTCTTCGGAAGAAAATACTATTAGTAAGTATGATATGAGCCCAGGATTGAGCCAGTGATCCCCCGATCCTTCCTAATCCCTGTGCTGCCACTTGCCCCGACCTGTTCACCGTGACCGTACCACCACCACCAGCAGCTGCAGCAACACCACCCCGCCCCCTCCTCAAACTAAACCCCTCCCTTTTCAATTCCACCCCCTCTTCCCCTCCCTCCCCCTGTTCATTCGTTTATTTTTCTTTTTTTTTTATCATCTGGGTGTTCCCCCCTCCTCCCTACTAGTTCCTTCCCAAACTTCTTCTCCTCTTTCACCCTTGAACATCTCTCTCTCTCCCTTTTGTTTGATACCCACACTAATCTTGCGTGCTCCTCTTCACCTTTGTGTATAGATTTGTCACAGTTACCACAAGAGAAGTTCTCAAAAATTCACAATGGTTAAAGCGGGTGAGTGGTCTTCACGGCGCCTGCATTTTGACCCCGCTTTTTAAAACGAGAACGACCCCGGACTAAATCCATTTCGACAGCTGTTCTTGGAGCATCTGGTGGCATTGGCCAGGTACGTGCCCCTCATTTGCCCCTACCAGAACTGCAGCCCGCGATGCAGGCCTGTTACCTTCTTTAACTTTTACTGACTGCCCATGTGCTTCTGATTGATTAGCCTCTGTCTCTCCTGCTTAAGACAAGCCCCCTGGTTGACGACCTCGCGCTCTACGATGTTGTGAACACCCCCGGTGTCGCTGCCGACCTTTCTCACATCTCCTCTGTTGCTGTATGTGTGGCCGTGTCACAACCCGCTCCCTATCTCCACAAAACAATCTGGCTTTATTTCTGACATTGTCGATAGAAAATTTCCGGATTCCTGCCTAAGGATGATGGATTGAAGCACGCCTTGACCGGTGCTGACATTGTTGTCATCCCTGCTGGAATTCCCCGTGAGTGAACCACCTCTCATGTTCCGAGGTGCTTCTGACTGACAAAGTTGCTGTTAATAGGCAAGCCTGGAATGACTCGTGATGATCTGTTCAAGATCAACGCTGGTATTGTGCGCGATCTGGTCAAGGGCATCGCCGAGTACTGCCCCAAGGCGTTTGTTTTGATCATCTCCAACCCTGTCAATTCTACTGTTCCCATCGCCGCAGAGGTCCTCAAGGCCGCTGGCGTCTTTGACCCTAAGCGTCTCTTTGGTGTTACCACTCTGGATGTTGTCCGCGCGGAGACCTTTGTCCAGGAATACTCAGGCCACAAGGACCCATCTGCTGTGCGCATCCCAGTTGTCGGTGGCCACTCGGGAGAGACTATTGTTCCCCTCTTCAGCAAGGCAGCCCCCGCTTTCCAGATCCCCGCAGACAAGTACGATGCGCTCGTCAACCGTAAGTGAACTGCGCAGACTCTTAGCGATTGAAATGTTTACTGAACTGTATGCAGGCGTTCAGTTCGGTGGAGATGAGGTTGTCAAGGCCAAGGATGGTGCCGGCTCCGCGACCCTGTCTATGGCCTACGCTGGCTTCAGGTTTGAGTCCCTCATTTACAAACTTTTGGTGTCAGAGCTAACCTCATATTAAGATTCGCTCAGAGCGTTATCAAGGCTTCTCAAGGCCAGTCGGGTATCGTCGAGCCTACCTTTGTCTATCTGCCTGGTGTCACTGGCGGTGAAGAGATTTCCAAGGCCACCGGCCTGGAGTTCTTCTCTACCCTTGTAGAACTTGGCGTAAGTCATTCATTACGTCATATTTGAATATCGGACATCACTCTGACTAGAAAAAACAGACCAACGGAGCTGAGAAGGCCATCAATGTTCTTGAGGGCGTGACCGAGCAGGAAAAGAAGCTCATTGAGACCTGCACCGAGGGCTTGAAGGGCAACATCGAAAAGGGTATCGAATTCGTCAAGAACCCTCCACCAAAGTAAACGCGCCCACCCCAGTCCCTGAGTCACAGGATTCCCTATCATCAATAGGTGATATGCCAATATCGCACCTCTTTACCACCGGGGAGATATCTTTCGGTGGTTGCATCACAAGTTCACGGACATGGAAGGAGCCCTGCTAATTATTGTTATCCTGGGGAGATAGGCTTTGAATATGTGACTCTGCAGACGAATGGGCGATGGTCGATGGATTGCTCTGACTCAGGATTTATGACTTCGAGATACGAGTGACCTGTTTAAATGATAAAACCTTGTATTCTTCATGCCCGCACTTGAATGTAGGATTACCCAGCAATCCGTTGGGGAGAACTGTAGCTCCAGCAGATATCCCTGGAGTGCTGCATGTGATTGTCATCCAAGCCCTCCTATGACGAACGCATATCGTACAATTGGCGGTCTGAATGAGGTTCAAAGTCGCCTATGTCCGAACGCCTTCAGGGCTTGGGGTTGACGGTTTTGATTTGGAAGGTTGCGCCTGGAAGCTCTGTAGATTCCGCTTGAACAGTGGTTGTAATACCGAGGTTTGATAAAGCACCGCGAATAACGCCGCATGGAAACCATAAATACTATAATACACCGCAAGTCGTTAGATCATAAACGGCTGACACTTGGGGAAAAATGTATATTTTGGGACAAACGTACCGCTTGAGCCATAGAAACCGCCTCGCTTCGCACAGATGTACTCATTCTTGCAAATGGTCGAAATGAGTTGTCAGTCAAGACATACACGCCCTGACAGTGCACATATTAGCCTCCCCAAAAAAACCAACCAGGGCACTTCAAAGGGATTTGAGAGCGCATTTGGTTCTGCCTACCCGGTGATTCGTTTTCAGGTTATCCACCTGCTTCTTAAATAGTATCGTCCACAAGTCCTTGCACAGAAACTTTATGACATCCAGGTTATCTGCGAATCGTGGGCGATCGCGGGAGAATCTGCTCCGGTGGACAACGGATACGCGTTAGCTGCGGGACTTCGATCAATAGCACACCTGCGAATCTGTCGGTGATCCTGTTTCACTGATGCGCACTCTTGCGGCAGATAGTTGCATAACTTGGACGACCGAAGAGACGTCTCAAACTCAAATCGCGGGGTTTCAAGCGTACCGTTCAGCCAACCCTTGTCCAACCCTGTAACCTAGAGATTCGAGGCGAAAGAATGTAGTTTCCCGGATTTCTTCATCATCTGGTAGCTTATCTTCTGAAGCAAGTTCCTTCGCTAAACGCTCCGCCATAGGGACGAGCTCTATCAGGAGGAAATCAAGGCATGAGGCACCCAGGAGCCGCACGTGTGGATCTGAAGCATTGAGGGATGAAGCCGGTGCATCCAACGACATTGTAAAAGGTGTTACGGTGGCCACGTTTGTGGGGTAGCCTGATTATTGTAAGGTGGTCTGGATGACTCGAATGAAGTGAACTCGGTGAATTTGTGATAGCAGGTAACTGTTGTACCCTGTTGTTTTGCGGAGATTATGCGGCTCGGAGTAGGCCAGCCAAGCATGGTGACCGCCGACATATCGCAAGCTCCGACGGAGCGGCCCCTAGCTACTTACGAAGTACCTTCCAGTCATGCCGACATGTCCCCTTACTCTGATGAATAAGCCGGCATAACGAGTGCTTTCCTTCTACAATGAAGCACTAGGGTCCAACACAGCGGATTATTTGCAACGGAGACTTTTATAAGGACTCCGCTAATTACGTAGGTTCCCCGTAAGTGACGTTGTGAGACCGATAGATATGGCTTTTTTTTTTGTTTTGTTTTTGGTGAAACGAAGATTGGATCTAAATGTTCGTTGGCCATCGAAGTTGAAAGAACATTGTTTCCCTATTATGCTTTGTCCAATGCTCCCAATAAATTCGCGTAGTGGATATACCCATGAAACCGAATGCGCCCAACACCATGCAAGTATGCTTCAATAACTGCGTGCATCATAACCACCGGCGTGACTAAGAAAATCAGAACTAGGCTGGCTGGGTAGTTGGATGTCTCCGTTAACATAGCCACCGCTGTACGGGCTGCAAAAATCCTGCTGAGACGAGGGCCGGTTCATC